AAATCATCCTTAGTGATTCATGGGACACAAAGGGTCTTAAAGATCTGATAGCATAACATGCTTTGCTTAATTTAACCATAAGTCCATCAATATGATGCTTCCATGACAAGGAACTATCAACAGTAATACCTAAAAAACGAGTATTTGTATTGTTAATAATATTGTGACATGTTGCGCAATGGAGGACACCCCCTCCCTACCCAGCCGAAGACAGTTCTCAAGGCAGCAGCCTATGAAGAGTTGGAGTATAGCAGCAGTCGCGGAAAGAAGAACCGGACGTGTGTGTAATTGTGTAAGTGGGAGTGTGTAATACGGAGAGACTTATATAGCTCCCGTACTGTGAATACATGTAGACTACTGAGGACAGAGTGAATTGATTATTGCGAATAGGGTTATAAAGTGTGAAACCCCGCAACAGTGTTATAATTAATTGTAGCCGAGACTTTTAGGTTGTTACATTAACCAATTAACAATCTGAACGGCGTCTTCAGTAACGAAACACGTTACAATACATTTATTTTTATAACTGATATCTAATTAAATTGTTTGGCTATTAGTGGTTCTAAATTGTATAAACTGAGTTATAATTAACTACTTTAGCTAGGTCATTTATGCACAAAAGAAAGAGCATTGGTCCAAGTATAGATCCCTGGGGCACTCCATGTTTAATCTTCCCCCATTCTGAAGAAGTATAAGAATGTGTTAATTTATCATCAATGAGGACTCGTAGCATGTACACCCATTGCTAAGTAATGACTTGGTAAACAGCACCCGCTGCTAGGCGACAGATTCCTGACAACCAACAAATGAACTACGAGCTGAGGTGTTTTCTACGTGGTCCATGCTGAGGGGTTATAAACAGCAGGAAGTTTAAAGCTTAGTGAGTTGTGGGATATTCAGCAGCCTGTATGGACTAGCAGAGGACATTGTTAAGATCCGTTACAACCAAGAAATGACTAGTGAAAGCAGACTGAAGGACTTTTTTTATTGCTAGTTGGGTGGGACTAAGCCCCTTGTACTGCGGCCACTTCTGGCCTATTGTACCAGCCCCAGGTGACAGGTGAGGGCGATTTTGGAGCAATTGGTGGAATGAAGATTGGCAGGGGAAACCAAAGTACTTGGAGAAAACCTGCCCCAGCACCATCTTGTCCACCACAAATCCCACTTGACCAGACCTAGGATCAAACCCTGGCTGCCGCAGTGGGAAGCCAGCAACTAACCCCTTGAGCTATGGCAGGGCCCAACCAAAGGACTTAGTGTGTGTGCTCTAGTGATTTGTAAAGTGTAGAGATCAGCGATGGTGCTATAATTACTTGCAGTTACAATCTGCTAAGTGGTCAATAAATCCAGCCACCAATTAAAACGCCATCTGTAGTCACTTCATACATGTGACAATATTTTATTCATTTATTCTTAGGGAACAGTTCAGTTCTATTCCTATGTAATCTGTCCTGCTATCAGTTTCCAAGTGCTGCTTCTGCTACACACGTAAGGAATTCGTTCTCACCAAACGTCAAGATATATGAATCCTACTACAGCCCATCTAGTTCTGTGAACAGTCCTGCTGCAAATACTGAATTCTTGGCATCAGTTTAAATGATTTCTTTTGATAGATCATGAAGAAATTTAACTGTCTGTGAACAAATTCTGTAAAGTTTGTATGACAACAAAAGACAAAAAAACAAAACAACAAACTCCATGGCCTGTAGTCCGCAAGCGAACTGTACCGACCAAGCGACCGCTGCTTGTTGGCAAATTTAGTGCCAACTTTAGCAGATAGAGGGTGTCGCATGCTCAGCAAAACCCATCCCCATGGCTGTTAATATCAGTTTTCTTGACCGGAGCTGCTATTTCTTTGAAATCACTCCTCAATTATCCTCAAGAGGCTTAGTGGACCCTGTTCCAGACCCACTACGTCCCAGAAAATCTGGTAGCACTGGGAATAGAACCCAGGACCTCTGGATCTGTAGCCAGGAACTCTGACCACTAAACCACTGAGCAGTAAGGCTACCAGACACTAGGTCCAACATAACAAAATGTGGTACTGGGTCCACTCTGATGACAGATGGTGAAAGGGCAATGGGTGAGAATATTTAACACAACTCTAATCTGCTCAATATTTCATACAGCATACAACTACAAAACCTGTGTGTGTGAACAAAACAGCCTGCACATTCACTGTATTTAGCAAACAATTACTTTCATCTCTGCTGGATTCAGATGTTTCTTGCTGTGGGCGTGACTCCTGCTCTTTGTCCTCTTCCGAGTCACTCTCGCTCTTGACTTCCGCTTCTTCCACATCTATCACCTCTTTTAGGATGGAACTCAAGCCAAGTCTGCTGAGCGATGCAAGATGTCTCTTTGATTCATTATCTAACACGTCATTTTCCAAGTGTCCAGACTCATCTATATTACCAAATAAGAAACCTGTGAGGTCAATACCAGGGTCCGATGAACCCTCTCTGTCATCGTCACTGTCCCCCATACTGCACCTGGAAATAAGAAAGACCTCAGTGATCCTTCAGACAGGAGTTTCACAATTAACATTTACCATTTTTTCTTTGCTCCAGTGAAAATAAAATTAAAGTATTTTTAAATTATTTAATAATAATGATAAATCAGTTTTACTGAACATTCATGATGCTGTAACAATGTCAAATATTTGTTACAAGAATGCCATAGCAAAAAACTCTTCCTTTAGAATCAAGTATTGATAGTTTTAGTATCATAAATACTACACAGCTTTCGTTGCACCAACTGATTTCCTGGAATTAGGAAAACCATACCAATTGACAAGGTCTGCATGATAAAAGAATGTGTTCTTCACACAGTTTAACTTCAAAGGGATTATAATGGAAGGGGGGCAAGCATTTGAACTTCAGCAAAAACAATGAAACACTATCCTAGCTGCTCCCTTGTACTTGTATCCCAGATACAAGTAATGTTATCCTATTGCATTTAATTTCATCCCTGATAAATCGGTTTAGCATGAGAGTTCTGATACTAGGTGAGGACAAGTTGTATATTGTCTGCTGTAAGCCTTATATTCTAAACACACTGTACTAAGTGCATTGGAAGGGGGCGACCGATGTCAAATATAGGAGACGCTTACGTCATCCTCGCCCTTATGTTCTACCGTCAATATAAGTTCATACTGAAAATTTTGTTATACAATAAAAGTGTACAGGTTAGGTGAAACTGCAAATAATTTAATAGTAACTCTTAATTATGCATGTTCTTACAATTCAATTATTCACATTGATATACGTAAAGAATTTCCGTATAGTACAAAATATCGGCACAACTAAAACAAGTATCGGTATCTCATAACAGCAGCAGACGTCTTATAATCTTTGCGTCTTCCGTTCGAAACTTTATCACGCCAATATAAAAAGACACTTTATGAGAGAGTGTATTTTTAATTTTATATGTCCAAAGGGATTCCAATGAAGAAACTGAGAATCGATAATTGATAAATGTGAAGTCAGTAAATCTGTTACCAAACAATTTCACAACATGTCAAAGGGAGAATTCACGAACTCATTAAATGGTAAAAATTCTACAAGAGCCAGATCGAAAAAAGAAACCGAAGACAACATGCTCCAATTTCATTTCATTTCAATTAATTTAACTTTTATTCAATAAGAATACTTACTACATATCATCTATAAACAGACATATAAACTACCTACATATAGTCCCCGTAATGTTACAATTGAGCAGCACTGTCGCGTACCTCGCGGTGTTGCAACGTCTTGACCTGCAATGATGTGTGTGTGTGGAAGGAAACGCGTACCGACTGAAGTTTTCAGGAATTTCCCGAACGGCAAAGAATGAAGGGCAGGTCTGCCTAAAAGCTTTCAATTAATTGAAAATTTACCAAATTTGTCCCTCTTAGCTCTTCACTCTTCGGTTCTAGATTTTTACGTAGGAATTGTATCGTCATCAGAATGTACATTACGTCAATACTACTCATGGGCAGAAAATTTAATTTATACGTGTTTACTCTGTTCAAAAGGCGGTTATGGTTGCTATTCATTCATTCATTCATTTATTCACATTCCACATTTTCTTTTTTTTCCCCCCCTGGCACTACAGCCCCAGTGGGCCTAGGTCTACCTTCATGAACTCCGTTCACTTCGGTTTTTCTCAATCTTACACATCATCTCATAAGAAATTCATCCAATGTATAAAAAGTATTAAAATACAAAAATTCCTTTAATTTCTCTTTAAACTTTTTTATATCCTTTGAAATTAGCTTAAGTGAGTTGGGAAGTGCTTGCTGGTGCTGGTGGTCTAGGGATAAGCCATCAGCTTAGTGTTCAGCAGGTCTTTGGTTCAAAACCAGTAGGATTTTTGTGAAAAAATGAAAAGAAGAGATTAATAAAGAAAACCAACAGCAGTGCAAGAAGTGAAGAGATAGAGATAAGAAGGTAGGTAGGATGGAGGAAAGATTTTTTTGCTTTTTTGCGGCCGCTCATTAAAACACTTGCCTAAGTGGATGTATGCTCTTATTAAAATCCACAAGGGATTATAGTGATGCGTCGTACCCACCTCCGCCCCCAACCTGCCCACCTCCCTGCCCTTGGAAAGTGTTGCTCACATGAAACTACTATAATCGTAATGATGAATGTTAAAGGATCACAAAGACTTCTGCTCTTTTTGAATGAAGTTGCAATAGCTGTATATGTGTAGGTTTGTATGAGTAGAGTATGTTTAAAGTGTATTCCAAGTCCACTTTCTCTTTTTGATCCATCCAAAATTGCAAGTAAAATGTCTCCTCACATCTTGCAGTCAGTCTGGCATTGTTGAATAATATGTAAAACAAGGCAGACTTATGTAGTCAGTTCAGACTTTATTTGTAATAGACTGGAACTCAGTACTGTAGGTCATCATCTGTTCTCAAAGTTGTGAAACTTTTTCGGTGTTTGTATCAATATTCAAATATTCCATTCCTCTGAAGTAGAGGCAGTGGTCACATTGATTTATATGAGGAAGATTATGATAGTGGAACTGAGGAAATTATATATTTTAGGGTAGCCAGTCTGGGATTTGATCAAAGTACTTTCTCGTCTTATGTCACATGTTTAATACAGTACATCCCTTTGAAACGGCATATATTCAGAGTTGATATTTTTATAAATACTTCAGAATATGTTACATCTCAGAAGAAACATTTATCCTAAATGAAGTTACCTGATTTGTTCCCCCACCTCTGAGATACATGATCAAGAACAAACCACACTAGAGGTTCTGAATTGTAAGATATTTGATACTACACACAAGGATTCTTGGAAATATAATAGTGATAGAAGTGTAAGTATTGTGTGTGCCCCTCAACCTCAGTCGTTTGGGTAGTATGGTACTGCAAGACATATTAGGGTCAGTTTGAGTTCTGGGAATATAATTCCAAATTTGCTACACAGTTATGTAACGTTGCCAAATTGCAAGAAGTATTTGGAAAAAGTCTTTCACGTTTATAAGTGGTCTTAATGTAGTTTATAAGGTGATTTTCCATTCCATTGCTGCATGTTTCATTGGCATAAATAGAAAGTAAGCAGCTCTTTTGTGATGTGTGGACCAGTGGCCCTTAACTGTCTCCCTTCTAGCAGACATGAAACTGAAGTGGACAGTATCCACAGAAAGTTTCTAGATACTGCATCTAAGTAAATGTAGGACAATATCTCCATAAAAATTTACTTGAATTTTTCTGGTCATATACCCATGTGTCCTGCAGTGTATGAGTGCATGTGTACTGCCAGACATGAGTACTGGTATGCCTTCAGAATCTTTGCAGTTAATGAAGATAAGAAAATAATTCAAGAGGCAGAATAAATCAGAAATAACACTGCTGTTGAAAATACATGAGGTGAAAATTGCGTGAGGAGTACAGAAAGAGAAAAAATTGATGCCGCAAAGCAGTGTTAGTTGGACTGCTTTTTGTGGCCATGAAGCAACATATCCTGAAACCAGAATAGTTTCATGACTTCATGAGAAGTGAAGTTATTTTTTATTGCTAGTGGGGTGGAACTAAGTCCCTTGTACTACGGCCACTTCTGGCCTATTGTACCAGTCCCAGATGATAGGTGAGGGTGATATAACTGGTGGAATGAAGATTGGCAGAGGAAACTGAAGTACTCAGAGAAAACCTGCTCCAGTGCCACTTTGTCCACCACAAATCCCACTTGACCAGATCCCGGGATCGAACCCGGGCCGCCGCAGTGGGAAGTCAGCAACTAACTGCTTGAGCTATGGCGCGGCCCAAGTGAAAGTTTGGTGTGTGGTATCAAATGAGATGTACCAGTTAAAGGCTAGAACAATCGTGAAAGAATATGGAAAGCTGAAGATTTGGAGGCAAAGCAGGAATGGATGGCAAGATTTTTTGCAAGAAATTATGTAGTTATTTGTTATTTGTATTATTGTATTTCAATAAATTGACTTGATATAAACTTTCATTTCTTTTATTCATTTTATTCCTTAAGAAATTACTGTCATTCTAAAGTAATGTACATCTTTAATCTGGGGGCATGCAGGAGCATGGTTGAGAGCATGGTTACAAGCCAGAAGGTTGTGGGTTCAATTCCTGATGAGATCATTGGATTTTTTCAATTGACTTAATCCATTCAGCCACATTATGGCTCTGGGGTCAGCTCAGCCTCAAACAGAACTGAGTACTGGAATCCTGGGGGTCAAGGGCAGCCAGTGCATAAGGCTGACAACCTCACTGCCATCGGTGAGCCGAGTGTCTAGAAAATGTGTAGTGTTTCTAGTTTTCTTGTAGTATATACTGTAATATCTGTGTATTTAGAATTATCCACATGGAGATGAAAATTTAGTATATCATATCCCAGCGAGAGGTCACTTGGGCTTCATAGCGTATGGACGTATTCGACTGCTCCGGCTAACAAGAGCACCACAAAGCTTTCTGTACACATCCTGTGTAGTTCAACAGCCTACAGTGCCTGCTTGGGACGATTCTACAACAAAAACAGCTGAGAGTGCCACTGACATCGAAAGAGTATCATTATCTAGTTATTTAATTGTTATACAAGGAAGTTGGTGCAACATTTATACTCCAGGAAGCAATTAACAATAATAAGGGATCAGCCAGGTAGCTGGTTTCAGTATTCCCTTAGACATGTTCCCAACATCTCAACAATTTCTGCCTATGGGATATGCAGATCCCAACTTTCAAAACCAAATGTACTGGCAACAACCAGACACTATGTACCAAATGCGGTACAAATTCAATCACCTTATCAGCCCCTACAACATCACCAGTCACAACAACCATCTTTCTCACACCAACCAGGTAATCAGAATTTCAGTATCCAAAATATTCTAAAACCTCCAAAGCTGAATCTAACTGCAACGATCTAGATATTGATTCAAGTAATTACGAGCATGAAACTATGTGACTATGTGGAAAAATAGTCAAAGGTACTTAGAACACTGCCTGTATTTTGATTTCCTTGTATGTGTATTATTGTGGATAGAAAAAAAAATATGGGCAAAGACTTTGGATTAACATGCTAATGTGCACCCTGGTGGTGTCTGGGAGACACTCCTGTGTTTGATTTTCTTTTGAAAATCGCCAAGAGTTGTCAGTCCTTCACAGCAATCATCAGTAATGTAAGTGCCTATGAATAGAATTCTCACTGATAATATTACAGATGCTTACAGATCAGATAACTACTGTGGCATCCTCAACTGTATGTACATTTGCAAAGTTGTAGACAGTCTTCTGTAGCTGCTTGAGTTTGAAAATACACATTTCTATTAAAGTTGATTTTGTAACCCATCCTGACGCGGCAGGGAACTTTTTAATGAAGTGAGATACGTTTTGTTCTGTGTGTATGTACAAGGAGAGTATTTATATGCTGACCCAAAGCACAGCCTTTCTGCTGTGCATGATAATTACATTGTTTTGTATCTATCATGATAAATGAGCAGTGGTAGTAAAATGAAGTGGATGCACTCGTTAAGTATTCACATGTGAACAGATTTTCTTTGTGTAGAACAAAGCTAGCAGCAGGTGTTTCTGTGTTACATATGTTTATATCAAAGTTAATATCCTGTTTTCTGTAATAAACTTCGTTATTTGTATTCATTATTATCTTAAAATTATAGTTAATTTAGATAATAATTATTTTCATTGAACAAGGATATGCACTCATTCATGGAGCTGAGCCCTTGTTGAGAAGGCGCCAATTGTGCAGCTACTCAAGCACTTCCAAGCATTTTATGGAACCCAAAGGTTCATTACTGCGTTCACAAGAACCCTCTACTGGTCCCTATCCCAAGCCAAATCAATCCAGTCCATACCACCCCAGCCTATCTCTCTAGGATCCACTGTAATGTTGTCCACCCATCTATGTCTTGGTCATCCTAATGGTCTCTTTCCTTCTGGCTTTCCCACAAATATCCTGTATGCATTCATCTTCTCCCTTATTTGTGCTACATGCCATTTCATCCTCCTTGACTTGATCATTCTAATTATACTTGGTGAAGAATACAAGTTATGAAGCTCCTCATTATGTAGGCTTCTCCAACCTCCAGTCACTTCATCTCTCTTCGGTCCAAATATGCTCCTCAGCATCCTGTTCCCAAACAGTCTCAGTCTGTGTACCTCCCTTAATGTTAGAGACAAAGTTTCACACCCATAGAGAACCACAGACAAAATTATAGTTTTGTATATTCTAATTGTTATGTTTTTAGACAGCAGGTGAGAAGACAGAAGGTTCTGTACTGAATGGTAACAAGCCAAAGGATATGCAATATTACAAAAATGTACAGGGACTGCAACTGCTAGGTCACACACAAACACCACAAAATATGAGTACATCGGCAGGCTTAATGTGGCTCACAGTCTGCGGGTTGAGAACCACTGAATGTTTCATATGGGGAAGACAATAAGATTTGATGGAGGAACTTTTTGAAAGACCAACAAGGACACAGATGGATAATATTTAGACTCATATTGGAGAAACGATTATTAGCTTTTTTTTTTATTCACTTAGTGGGGGGTGGAGTCCAACTGGGTCCACTCAGCATGGCGGCCACTGAACAGCCTATTGTAGCCTGCCCCGGGTGATTATGATGATGGAGAATTTGGCGGAATGAAGATCAGCAGGGGAAACCGAAGTATTTGGAGAAAACCCGCCCCAGTACCACTCTGTCCACCACAAATCCCACTTGAGCAGACCCAGGATCGAACCCGGGCCACCGCGCTGTGAAGCCAGAGACTAATTGCTTGAGCTATGGCGCTGCCTGATTATTAGCTTTCTGGATATTGTTCATCATCCAGTATTCTTAAACAGAACACAGCATTTCAGGAGATCCAGCTCTAGTCTAGAAACTTAGTGAAACTTCAAGTTCTGCTACCAGAAAGTTAGTTTAATTTCAGGGTGCTTAAGATGATGAACAAAAGGTATGGTGCAATATATTTGTTCTCCTTGATGGGGCCAGCACTTTGGCTGGTCTCCTGGAGGATCTGAATGTTGTCCTCTATCCCAGTTGTGATGGGGCTGTTCCTGCTGATGTAGTCCATCAGTACTTCGGAGTCAACACGTCCTGCAAAACAAAGCCAATGCTGGATGGATTGGAAATGTGTATAATTTATACAGTACTGGTGAAAGAGGAAATACTGAAAGTGAAACCCATGGCCAAGCCATTGTCAGAAAGATTTGTATACTCTTCCCTTATTCTGCCTAACTCTGGGGTCTGCATGCCCTGACCACCCAATGAGCCAGGCTACTGGGGGTATGAGCTCCTGGTAGGGTCACCCAAGCTAGATGGGGCATAGCATACAGGCCACATGGAAGGTAGTCCATGGTCCTTTAGGTCAGGGTTGGGTGTGAGGTCAGCCTCATCTGAGAAAGCAGTATATGTTGAGAAGTTCAATGATGGATGCTGGATGGATAATTATGGAAATGACTACAGGAAAGGTTGTTAGGAAAGTAAGTTATGTGGCCAGTTTATTCAGGAAAAGAACATTAAGGCAATCAAAGTTAAGACATAATGTAGAGGGAAGGCAGGAAAGCCCAGAGTGAGATAGCTAGAAGGTAACAGAAAATGAAAGTGATGAGATTGAGACAGAAGGCAAATAACAAAGATCAGGCATCTGTCATTAAGGAGGCCAGGGTCCTTCCAGTTAAGCATTACATCATGATAATATATAGAAGTGGAGGAAGCTCTGGTGATTTACACTTGGGAAAGATCTGCTGGCACTCAGTGGAAAAGAGGCAGGATAAAATCAAAACAAGCTGAAGAAAGATCCTGTGTCTTTCCCAGGAATCACACCCTGGTATTTGATCTGCTAGCCAGTCACTTTACTGACTGAGATCTCTTGTCTCCACAAGTACAATTTTAAATATAAGGTTTAACTATCAGTATATGTTCATTACTGATTTGAGCCATGCTGAAGGTCAGCTCGCTCTCGGCGTGACGTCATGGCGGCTGCCATTCCCAGATTCCATCCCCACCCCTATTAATGTTGACATACTACCATCATCACATGACCCCATCCCACCTCCTAGTCTTGGAACGAGGAGAGACTTACTGTGCAGTCTGTCGGACGATGCTGACCGGAGAAGACGATTACCAGCTAGCAGGGATTGTTGCAAATTCCGTTTCGGCTGGGTTACTCAAAATTTGGTTTGGTATCTGGCTGCCTGGTAAAGTAAGGCTGCCCACATCGCAAGCTGTTGGGTAGGACGGTTGCGATGTGTGTTATCATTTTGTATTTACCTGCATCTGTATTATTTGTGTTTGTAAGGGGGTAACCCATTCAAAGCCCAAGGGAAGTTGGAAATTGGGGTAAGTTGGTTTATTTTGCGTCGCAAGTTCTCGCGACAAGAGACTGCTTAGCAATCGTGTATTGGGTTGTTGTACCCCATGTTCTGCCAGGATTATGTGTTTCTTTGTTATGTCTGTACTTTATTTATTTTGTTATTAAATTTTCTTTATTGTTATCTGAGGCCAACATATCACTGTAGCTCCTCCACACAGCTTGGATACCCCATGTCTATCTCAGGGAGCGTGTGAACACAGCAATAGAGCCAGCGACAATAGGCTGCTTCTTCCCTCTTCACGGCTCTCATGATGAGTAGTATTTGAGAGAAGAAGGGGAAGGGGGCGGTTCAGATTTGTGTTGCATCATATTGGTTGGAGTGGAATCATGTTAAACCTCAACACTGGGTGGGAGTAACTGTGATTTTCTTAGGTCACATGTTACAGGTAGTAATAACGCCATCCTCTATGAGGTAGGCCGAACTACGGCTGTGTCTTTGATGGGGATACATCATGGACCAGGGATGCGTCAGGACTCAGCTTTGGGACAACTCCTCGTGGTCCCACTGGGTAATGAGTCTCAGGGTCTGGGTTTTTTTAATTCGCTTAGTGGGGGGTGGAGTCCAACTGGGTCCACTCGGTACAGTGGCCACTGATTGGCTTATTGTAGGCTGCCCGGGTGATTATGATGATGGAGAATTTGGTGGAATGAAGATCGGCAGGGGAAACCGAAGTACTCAGAGAAAACCCGCCCCAGCACCACTTTGTCCACGACAAATCCCACTTGACCAGACCCGGGATCGAACCCGGGCCGCCGCAGTGGGAAGCCAGCAACTAACCGCTTGAACTATGGCGTGGCCTTCAGGGTCTGGATTAGTATGACTAACCAGGACTGGCAGCTAAGTTCCCATAATGGGCAATGGAATTATGACTGGAGCCTCCCATGGGGCGGCATAATGACTCTTGGGTCTACTCAGGACGAATGCGGGAGAGCACTCGTATGGGTGTAGCTTTGGCTATTTGAGTTGTCTCCCTAGAGTACCGGTAAGGTGCTGCAAGCCTTCGGACTCAACACTCTAAATCGGTCTGACTAACCCATGTGGAGGGGTGGGAATGTGGTAAGCTTATGCGCCACCCCCAGGGGCGACTTTCTCATGCAGGTTTCCCTGGTCGCAAACTCATGAGTCGCACTCCCACTGAACATCTGGGATACCCCCCTCCCCCGAACGAGCACTTTTGGTCCTGGAGGCTTGTGAGGGTTTATCCTTAACAGGACTGAACTGCTTAAGCCAAGGTGTGAGGCATTGTGCTGAGGGCTGCATGGCACTGGGGTGGTAATTATCCAGTGTCGTGAATGATCCCCTCAGGGCACCAGGCATCTCCCCGTTGTATTTATGCCTTCCACCTGTATGGGGCGCTGCCGGTGGTGACCTATATTCCCATGACTCGTGGAACCGAAATAAATACTGGTACCAAAACAGATACCGGTCATAAGGACCTTAAACAGAAGAGGGACTCCCCTCCAAGGAGATCCCTATGAGAAATACTTCAGCAGGGGGCAGGAAGCTCTAGTGCACCAGTTGCAACCAGCGAACCTGCTGGTGAAATTTCAGCCAAAGGCAGGGACGAACCAGTGGTGAGAAACCAGAAACCACTCTCTTGGGAGTCTGTAGTACTGACATAGCACTACAGGGAGCTAGTACTTCTAGCATTCCTACACTAGGAGAAGGTCTAGGATACCTAGCCTCTGGTGTAAGTAGACTCTGTATAGTGAAGAAGGCCCTGTCTGGATGCGCTAGATGGAAACTTAGAAAGGCATGAGCTAGGGCAAGCGAAGCAGGAACTGGGGGCATTCAGCAACCAGGAAATGCAGGCTCATCCAAGCAGGGAGAAACCCCTGCCAAGACCCTTAAGAGACAAAGGTCGGAGGGCAGTACACCCCATAGAAACGTCCAAAAAGGTCCACGGACACTAAGGGACCAGGGACTTACTGTGGCCAACATAAAGGTTGGAAACATATCCTGAAGATAAGCTGACAGAAGATGACCAGAACTCCATTCTGGAAGTACTGGGAGGGGTGTTAGGTAGGACTCCATCAGGAGAACTACCAAACCTGAAGTCCTACAGACTGGAGTGAGGCGGACTATTTTTTACAACCAAGTCTGGTCAATGGCTTATCAAAGCTTTCGACAATTACAAGCTGGAATTAGGGGCCAGGCTGAACGCTACAGATGCCAGGAACCTACCCAAACCTGTTAAAATGGCTCTCAGGATTAGGGACAAAGTTGCCCAGAATCAGGAAGAGCTACTGAAATTGATTGTGAATCTTAATCCAGGACTCCACACTGAGCAATGGAGAGTACTCAATAAGCAATCTGAGCTGAAAGGCCAGAGGCTTAGTTTACTTATAGACTGGGAGTCTTATGCCATTATAAAGAGGACCAGATATAAAATATTTACAAGGCTCTCATAGGAAACAGTTAAACTGCTGAAAGATCCTGAAGCTCAGCACCAAAAGGGAACTGTGCTAGACACAGCATCCTCAAAATCGGGCTCTGAGGGGGAGGGGGATGATGTACCCACTCCCTCAGATGACCAAAGCAGAGCATATGAAGGGACCCCTTCAAATGGTACCCAGTCTGAGAATAAGAAGAAAAATTAAACAAGTTACACACACACACACAAACTCAAACATATACATAAACAACATGAAATTCCTTCAGATTAACATACACCACAGCAAAGCAGTCATGGCAACTTTAAGCCAGCAGCTAGCTGAGGGAAAGGCAGAGATAGCACTTATTCAGGAACCTTGGTTATACAAGGGTCAAATAAGGGGTTTGACCAACACAGGGGGGACAGTTTACTCTGCTGTACCTGGTAATAATGCAAGATCCTGTGTTTATATCAGGAATCATATTAATGCCTTACCTTTGCTGGAGCTCTGTTCTAGGGATGCAACAGTGGTGAGGACAATATACAAGTATCGAGGGGGCAGCAGGGAGCTGATTGTTGCTTCAGTGTACTCGTACCTTCCATATGACTCAGATGAACCACCACCAACTAAGGAGATGAGGGACATCGTAGACTACTGCTATAGCAGGAAAAAGCAACTCATCATTGGGTGTGATGCCAACGCGCACCACATCTTGTGGGGGAGCACCGGCACCAATCCAAGGGGAGAGAGCCTTAGGAATTTCTGGTGAGTTCAAGCTTGAATATGGTAACTATAGTAAAGAAGCTACCTTTGTGGTCTGCAATAGGAAGGAGGTTATTTACTTGACACTAGGGACAGATAGAATAGAAAACCTGGTAAGTAATTGGCATGTATCTGGCAAGCCGTCTTTATCAGACCACAGATACATATGTTTTCAAATAGGTAATGTAACAACACAACAAGTTACCTTTAGGAATCCTAGGGGAACCAATTGGGAGTCATACAAGGACAACCCAAAGGTGAATCTGGAGATAATTTCGCAAAGTATATGCACAATAAGGGACACAGATCGATCTGTTGTAACAGGCTATTATCTTGTCCTATTATCATAATTGTCCAGCCAAGACCACTCGCTTACCAAGAAATGCACCTTGGTGGAACAATAAGCTGAGTGGGCTAAGAGCTAAAACAAGAAAGCTATTTAATATGGCAGAAAGAACAGGCCTGTGGGACGCCTACAAGGAAACCCTCACCTGTTATAATAAAGAAATAAGGAAAGCCAAACAATCCTCATGGAGGAGGTACTACCAGGAGATCAATGATGTACCAGGCAGTGCCAGACTCATGAAGGTCATAGCAAAAAGGCGACCAGCAATGTCAGTACTGTCAAGCTACCTAATGGTAAGTATACCCAAACTGGGAAGGGGACACTGAAAGAACTGTTCAGAGTTAACTTCCCTGATTCAAAGCTGATTGATGATTCAGGTGATGGGCGGGTCCAGCAGAATCTGGGCGTATGTGGACACATAGCGAACAGGGTAGAATGGAACATGGCCAATCAGGTAATCAATCAATGAACCAAAAATTAGTTCAGCGTTAGGTAGCTTCAAATCATTTAAGTCTGCGGAAAGAGGTGGAATTGTACCAGCACTTCTGCAGCAAGAGGTGGAACATTTAGTCCCACACCTATGCTGCATATTCAGAGCATGGGTTTATCCCTACAGCCTGGAGGCAAGTCAAAGCGACATTTATACCGAAGCCCGGGAAACTTGGAAAAACCGAGGCTAAGGCTTATTGCCCTATCAGCCTGTCATCTTTTATTCTGAAAATGATGGAGAAAGTAGTAGATAGACATATTAGGGATGGTGCATTGAAGATTCATTCTCTGCAGCAAAACCAACATGCTTATCAAATAGGTAAATCTACTGAAACCACACTGCATAATGTGGTTACACGCATAGAAAATACCATCGAACACAAGGATATTTCCCTTGGAGCATTCCTTGACGTAGAGTGAGCCTTTGACAGAGCCTCTTTTGACACAATAAAACAGGCTGCTGAAAGGCATGGCATTGAGCGTGCAATATGCAGATGGATCTGTGCCATGCTGGAAAGCAGGAATATAAGTGCTACATTGTCTGAAGAGACCCTGAGGGTGTCTGCAGGGATGTGTTCTCTCCCCTCTGCTCTGGAGCCTGGTCGTGGATGATCTTCTTTTGGAGCTCAACACTAAAGGTCATTTCACAGTAGGATATGCTGATGATATAGCAATCCTAATCAATGGGAAAATCCCTTACACTGTGTCAGAGGTCTTACAAACAGCCCTGTACACAGTTCAACAGTGGTGTGAAAGAACAAATTTGTCTATCAATCCAAACAAGATGGTAATTATACCCTTTACTAAGAAGATGGATATCAAGGGGCCTAAGGAACCAATCCTCTTCAGTCAAGCGATCTAGCTATCCAGTGAAGTCAAGTACCTTGGCATAACATTAGACAAGGGATTGAAATGGAAAAAAACAGCTGGACAAGGCTATGAACAAGGCCTATAAGGCCTTCTGGACATGCAGAGGAACGTTTGGAAAACCCTGGGGACTGAAACCAAAGGTGGTGTATTGGATATACACTGTTGTAGTAAGACCCATAATCACCATGCTGCCATTATATGGTGGCCTAGAGTTAAACTCAAAACAAGTCAGGCAGAACTAAGCAAACTGCAAAGGACAGCCTGCTTGGGAATTATGGGAGCAACAAGAACAGCTCCAACAGCTACAATGAAAATCCTACTAGGACTCCCCCCACTGCATCTGCAGATGGAAGCAGAGGCCAAGTTAGGAAATTACAGATTACGTTGCAATGATCAATGGAGACCACAATCCGAAGGTTTTGGACATGCATATATGATTCAGGACATTGAAAAAGAAACCATCCTACGGATGGGGTCTGATAAAATGATACCGAAACATATTTATGATAAACCCTTCATGATCAGATTTCCTGATGGAAGTGAATGGAAAGAGGGGTTTCAACCCAATAGAAATGGGGGACTAATCTGGTATACAGATGGCTCACCCCTCATACCCATACTCAAACCTCAATACTATGTACATACGTGATCTGTGATTTTCAAGTAATTTAAAAATGCTGCATCAATTATGCAAGTCAAGAAATATCAAATGATAAATGATAGAATGATTATGAACAGGAAATTGGTAGCTATAAGCAAGAATTTTTTTTTAATCTTTAAAACTATGAACTGAAGTAGCATCAAATGAGATGAGAAGAAGATCATGATTAGTAAGGAGGTAATAATTTGGAAGGAAAAAGAAAGCCTGGAGAAAATAGGAAAATCATCAGTTAGGACAGGTAGTTAACAAAGATCCGAACCATGTATTTTCTCAACGGCAACTCTGGACTATTCAACACACTCTCTGAGAGACTGCATCTTACAAACCTGTGACATGGTTCCGGAAATTATTGGCAATGGTCGTATATCCGTCTCCTCCTGTCACAAGGTAGGAACACAAAGAAATTCGGTACCATTTCTCTAGATCCAGGGGCTCATACTCAGGCACACGACATTCTGCACACCTGACTGCCACCTTGACCACTCGATCCATCACAGGTCGACTCATGTCAAACGTCACCTGTATACCTGAAATGTATATATTATGAGCATTGCAAGGAATGAATTTTGATCTTCATTGTTGTTTCTGCTGCTGCCAACGTTTTGGATTTGACTCATTCCCCTGTTCTGGCTCCAGATGTAATCCATTAGCATTCAAATGTTGTTAAGCAGAACTTTTATACAGCTGGTATACAAATAACTATGAATGTGAGCAAACTTGTTAAAAGTCACATATTCTCTTGTACATTGTATATTATAACCTTGTGGCTAAACCTGAGCATGGGAGCACTGGAAAACATATTTAAGAACAAGCACTGCTGATAACCAGTTTCTGCTTGACTAGCATTAATAACATTTTAAATTAATCATTCTGCTGTTGCATTCCATTTCATATAAACAATATTAATACTGTAAAATGCAACTAATCTGAACAGGTGTATTTTCTGGTTACCCTTTGCTTACAATTCATTTTGACACAAGATGAGTTCATTTCACATTATTAACATTTCTACATGATTCTTATGATTGTGTTGTAAAATATGAATGTAAAATTTCCTCTGTACCCAAACATCATGCTATGAGTGCATATAGGGGCATGGAGGTATAGCTCCATGAATTTAAGATGTTGGCACCAAGTAGTTAGTTTTATGCTCTTGTAGATTTGTTCCTAGGGAAAGAGACCCTGGTACCTAGAGCCAGTGTAGATGTGATGAAGAGCAATATCACCCTTACAAAGGGATTCAAATCTGCTGACTGACGTGTTCCACCTCATTCATTCCAAAATCTCTAAAAAAATCAGCAGTTAAGTATGAAAAGTTGCCTTTCTCTCACATCCATGGATGAAATTTGTTTCATCTTCTTTTATTAATGTTCATAAAGTAATCTTAGGCTGAAGTAGTCCTTTTCCAAGCAGAAGAGTTCTATTTTGGGGATATAACACCATGTAGTCAATTGAAAGTCAACTGACAGTTGGAAGAAAATGTCGCCTCCATCTTCAGGATCAAAGAATAAGCCATGCAAGAAACCAGCATGAAGCTGGTAGCAAGTACGGCCAGAGCAGAGGTTGCTACCTGCTTCATGCTGGTTTCTTGCATGGCTTTTTCTTCAATCTGAAGATGGAGGCGATGTATTCCTCCGAAATATTTGTTGACTTCAAATGGACTGCATGGCATTTCATTCCAGAAGATAACCAGAAGTCCTGCTTCTTGGAGCTTTCCACTTTCATAAGATTCTTATTTAACATTGCTATTTTAAAATCAGTTAGCCTTCCTCAGAAATCATATCAACATGAGAAAGCATTCCCCAGAAATTTAAATGTCCTTGTTCATCCACAGGCCCTTATTCTATATATCAGTGTCACTCTGCATATTCTGTTGATCCTTCACCACCATCTCTCACTAGAAGAATTGAAAATTATTTTATAATGACCTATAAATTTAGTGCAGAACATCTTAAGCACTACATGATTGTCTGTAGGGAAACAGGATGACCCAATGACATTATGATTTTAAGTGCTATGTCACTGTGCTAGCAACACATTTGACTTACTTTTATCATAGGCCGCGCCATTGCTCAAGCGGTTAGTCACTGGCTTCCCACCACGGCAGGCCGGGTTTGATCCTGGGGTCTGGTCAAGTGAGATTTGGGTGGACAAAGTGACGCTGGGCCGGGTTTTCTCCGAGTACTTCGGTTTCCCCTGCCAATCTTCATACCACCAAATTCTCCATCATCATAATCACCCGGGGCAGGCTACAATAGGCCAATGAGTGGCCGCCGTGCCGAGTGGACCCAGTTGGACTCCACCCCCCACTAAGCGAATTAAAAAATTAATTACTTTTATCATACATCAATAAGATAACATGTAACTGCGTTATATGCAAGTTCTTAAGTTCTCACTTTGGTGACTATGAAGTGGATTATCTTGTGGGTTGCGATACTACACATTCATATGTCATTTCCATCTTCAAGATTGAAGTGATCCTGATTCTGAAGACCCTGAAGATGGAAGTAGCATGTTCCTCCTAAACTCCGATATCCACATACAAGGCTTCAAGGAGTCACAACATGGACAACCTACAATGTGAATTTGTTATCCGTTCATTTTAAAGTATCAGTGTTCTTCCTGGGATTCAAGACACTCTGACACTTGCCTGACATCTGCAGGAATCCCTGACCACTGAATTCTGTTGCCTCTAAATCTCTCTTATGTCGTCCATTTCCTCGGTAGAGGCTCTGGAAGCGACTTACAGAGAACTCTAGTGTCTCCAGTAGATGCTTTCCTTGCAGTTCTATTATATCCACTGTGTTTGAAAATGGCTGAGCTGTCATGAGTTCTGCATATGTGATGTCTGTAAACAGAAAACTGATATATTGACTTTTGCACACCATTTGTACTTGCAGAATTTACAAATCAGAGCATGGATGTTGCATTCGTGCACATTTATACAGCCATTCTATTATTCATATTCTGACTTTCTTTTCTCTTCCTGTAAGTTGCTTTTAGGGCTTAGATGTGAACAATTGTGGATGTCTGGTAGGGTAAATGTAAGCAATTTTAACAATTCCTTAATGTTGTTATCACTTAGAAGAACATACTTCAGTGAAAAAGAAGGGAATTTTTTGTTAATTATATAATAAATGCACAAATGCTTCCTACTGCACTATGGCCCTGGGGTCAACTCATCCTCTAATAGAAATGAGTACCAGGAATCTTCCTGGGGTTAAAGGGCTGCCAGCACGTAAGGCTGACAACCTCACCGCCATCTGTGTGCTGATGGTCTAGAAAATATGAGAGCCTCTACATGTCACAACCCTACAGGCCTCGATGGTCTGTTACAAGGATAACTTTACTTTTACCTTTTACAAATATATTAAGTATTAATATAAAATGTGGGGAGGGGAAGAAAAATGGTTAACTAAGTCACTTATTACAGTATTTTACTATAATAAAGAATGTGTTTCAACCCCCATCTTCTTGCTGAATCATTGATGATATGGATATAAAAAAATAATGATCATTTGTTCTGTGCAATTAAAATGTGATCTTTTGCTTTCAGGAAAGAATATAAATCACAAGTTTTTGAAACTGAATTTAAGAAAAATATGTGAAACCAGAAAAGATAACACAAGGGATCTTTTGGCCATGCACACATGTTTCTTCTCACGCATCATGTTGTCTGCTTACTCATATGCCTGAGTGCAAGATGGAGTACTTCTGGGGACACAATCACACAGTGGTGTACCATCTACTGCTTAGCTCAGAAGGAATCTGTCAGCCTTAATGATATGCAGGCAAAATGATAAGCAGAAAGGAGTGTGTTCAGTTACCCTTAGGACAGTGAAATCTAGGAAGCTATGATGGAAGAAGCAAAGGATGCATACAGAATTTTGGTTGGGAAACTGTTTGAAAAATGTCGACTTGGGAGCTAAAGGAGACATGAAGTGGATGGAACAGACTAAGGATTGTGTCCAATGGCAGACTTTGATATTAGCAGTTCTGCTGCCATAGTGATACAGAAAGGAGAAAACAAGCCCCAAGCTCCATGGTTTTCAGAATGAATCCAAAATAATTATATGGAAAATAAAGGCAAAAACTAAAGGTAAGCACACCCAATGGACTAACAAACCCAGTTAATGCCTACAAATTCTCATACCTCTATTGCCAGCAGAAAGAGTGCATTATTTTCATTTATATATTTATTATAATTTATTATTTTGTGAGGGATCATTTAAAAAATATATTCCAGAACACTTCCACTGTTCTCAACTCTCTTGTCTTTGACTTTTGTGGAACAAGGGAGACATTAATAAATTTCCATCTGTATTCATCATAACTCCCTGTCACAACCCAAAACAAAATTTAAAAAGCACATTGTGAATATAAATGAAATTGCTGCAGTAATAACATGATTATATACAAGATTATGTATTTTACAAGAAATATTAATTTATTCTGCAAATATCTTAGGGCATATTAACATTCTTGGCTAGGCACAATACATCACTGTGGTCGCGATGCAAGGGCCAAGAAGGCCCACCCCTTATACATTCAACATTCTTGGCTTCTGAATGCATGAAGGTGAGGGAAAGGAATCTGTATATACAGGTATATAGTAAGAGTACATAAGAGTTGTGAAAAATCGTAAAGAATGTATCTTGGGCATAGTTTACAAGAGAATGCATCATTTACATCTCCGTCACACAATTTAAATTCTCTGTATCCTGATGCCATCAGATTGCAGTTAATGTAAATTACATTTTTACTGCAGTAAAAGGTTATGCTAGTCAAATGTCATTATTTTCCAAGGAAATGTTATGATAGCATAGGAAAGTATTTGACTTGAAGTAGATTTCTACGAATGTACATACTTCCTGCTGCTTCTGTTTCAGAAATGGAACTTCGGATTCCTCCTGAGTTTATGAAGCCAATAGCTGCCCCTGTCCAGAAGCCTGGTTGGGCATGTTTCACACACTGCAACATAACAGAAGCTGTGAGGATATCTCCGTGATGCTGCTTATTCAGGCAGATTTAAATGCTTTGCTTCCATCCTTAAGTGGCAAAGACATGAAGAAATTTCTGTTCCATTGGGCTCTGGGCTACACTCATGCCCCAGAGAGGGGCAAGGAAAACAAGACACAAGGAAAATAAATAGCCTTAAGTACTGTGCCACACAGTTATGAAATAACTTTAAACATATTTTTAAGCATTTGAATGTTTTTGCACTTCTACAAATGTATACATTTTATCTCAAGCAATTCTAATATGATGTACCTTAATAAACTATAAGGAAAACTAATTTACGAGGGTTGGAACTTTAATAGTGGCAACACTGCTCTAGAGACGCCATGCAATGGAACCAAATAATGTCGTTTATACCACACGTTAGTTACATACCTACCTTACCTCAGAGAAAATGGACTCTCCCTTCCTACATCACGTGCATGCTCAGTGACAAGAGAACAGAGCCTCGTGTTAGCTGGCGGTCTAATGTAGTGTTGTCACGATATTTTCAAAACAGGGACAACGGAGTTGGATAAAGATTGAATGCGCCAGAGGCTGTACAGCATGACAGTGTCATCAAGGTCTTCAAGAGGCTTGCGGGGAATCTGCATTGCCTTACAGAACAATGACAAGGTGGAACCACCACGAAAATCAAAAGTTCATCAGAACCCCAGCAGTGTGAAAGATGGTGATTCTCATGTACGACTGTGATGGTGTTATCATAACGCATACCGTTCCTCAACAGCAGACCATCAATGCACAGTATTCTGTTCATTTTTGGAACACAACCTGCGACCAACTTTGAGAAAGAAGCGGCGACACTTTCTGCAGAACCCACCCACCATTTTGCAGGACAATCCTCGGCTGATGCAGCACAAGCTGTGGCTGATTTGCTCAATCGATGGGGCTGGGAAGTGCTGTACCATCCTCCATACTCCCCAGACTTAAGCCCTTGTGACTTCAACTTGATTCCTAAGATGAAGGAACCACTTCGTGGCATTCGCTTCAGAACAGTTCCAGAGATTCTTCAGGCAGTAGACCGCTCCATTCGAACTATCAACACAACAATTGCTGCTAAAGGTATCCTACGACTTCCACATCGCTGGCAATGAGTTGTACACAATGCTGGTGACTATATTGAAGGACAGTAAAACTTCGAAACATGCATCTATTTTTTATTGGTTGTAAATAAATAGTTGCCACTATTAAAGTTCCAACCCTTGTACAAATTTATACAGTGTTACCCGAAGTGTGATTAATTTTTCAGCACTGGTTTTGTATATACAAGATAGAGGCCAATGAAGTTTCCAAAACTAAAGAGAACAGATATGAAAAATATGTGTACTCCCAACTGTAGAACACATATTCTCAGAACTGTTTATACTTGTCATTGGCTTAATCTGATGAAAGTGTTGAAGTTACCTCATCTACGAAGGCATCAGCAATGACATTTCCAATGTTGCACTCCCCTTTCCTACAACCACCATTAGAAGCATCAAGGAACACTTTGGTACTCCCAATTACACGGCTTCCTTCGATGTCAATTATTTGTTTCCATGGCTTCAGTGCTTCAACAACTTCTGGATCTGAGGAATACATGCAAATTGTCAAATTATTCTTACTTTTCCAGGTGTTTTAGTGTTTAACCTGCCTTGCTGTAGATACAATGTTTAGTACACGGGCAGAGGAACATTGAAACTGTTCTTATTACTATCACATTCACGCAGTCCCACATATGATGATGTTATTCTGCTGCTTTATGATGCTGAATCAGCTGCTTGAGTTTTGCAGTACTGAATGAATGAGATGATAAGATGTTTGTAAGAAAGAATTGGGAGGGATATTTAAGACACAATCTTGGCCATTGTCTGGGGGGACTGAAGAAAACCAGAAAATACTTCTGTCATGATGGACAGTTCCTGACTTGGGTTTGAACTGAGTACCTTATGAAGAATGTCAGTCAGATTCATTACCACTCTTTGAACATGCTTGGTTATCTGAGGGGTGTGGCTGAATCATGAAGCTGCCTATTTGCCTGTGCCCAGTGCCAAAACACTGCTGCTTCACATTTGGTGACTCACTGACTTAATTATCAGGCTAGGGGCCTTATGTCCCGACTGAGACTTTATAATGGTTTTCCTCAGTCCCACTAGGCAAAAGCTAGGGGTTGTACAAATTACTGTCTTCTGGGATGTGATACCATGTAGCCAGTGTTCTTGAAGATACTCGTATCTGCTGTCTCCATCTTCTATCTTGAAGATAATCATTAAGTTAACTTTAAACCAGTTAATCAGTCATTACAGGTATAGTTAAAAATGTAACAAAATAACTTTCCACGAAGATGTGTAAGGGACATGGATGTAAAGTTCAACACATTCTTAACCCTTAGACTAGACAAAAATGATCATCTTCTTTCATCATCAGGGAAGGAGACCGAGTGTGCGGTGGACATAAGGCTGCGTGATCACAGAGCCATCCCAGAATTGGTGGTGAAGAAAGGAATCTCATTGCCTCTGCTAGTAAATGAAGTTCGTCCATCTGGTCTGTAGCCTGTCACTGCTCTGACTACTTTCACATCTGAGCAATGATGGAGTTGTATAAAAATAATAAAATGCACTTAAAGAAATCAATTAGAAAACAGTCTTTACACATGAAGAGTTCTATCTTCTTGGATATAATGCCGTTTAGTCTGTTGAAATTCAACTGACATTTCAGAGGAACAAATCACCTTCATCTTCAGGGTTGAATAATAAGCAAAGGAAGAAACCAGCGAGAAGCAGGCAGCAAGCAGGAAGAACAGTCTCTACACGTTGTGGATCATGCATATGACAGATGTCTTAATGAGTCATTAGCAAATGTTTTAGTTTATTCCTGGCCACAGTAAGCAACGGTATTTATTCAAACCTTCTGGAACAGAGTTATCGAGAAGTATGGGTGACCCTTCCCAGGCTGCATATTCTCCTTGCTCATCAAACCAGATTGTGATGTTCCCCACGTATTTGGAATATGCATAAGCTTGGACAATAAGTACGCTGTGTCCTCCAGCTTGTTCGACAATCACTGGATAGCTGTCCACTGGCAATTCACTAGAGGGAGGGGTTCCTGGAAGGAAAGCAAGAAAGAAAAAAGATAATCAAATTTTGATGTGATGTTTTAAGTTCTCACACTAGTGAGTATACTTTGTTTGAAACATCTCAGTGAGTATGTCATGTTCTGAATAGGCAACTTTATGGAAGAAATGACTGGTGTGTTCAACAAGATCTCCAGTATGGTAATTTTGGTTCCATCATATGTTGAAAATAGAATTCCAGTAACGTTCTAATAATGAAATTACTATCTACATCACTATCTGATGATGACACATGCTCAAAGATGTTCTAGACACGGTATACTAAAACTGCTGGCTTCTGGAGTATGACAGTATGCAGTGTAGTATAAGATATTTACACTGCATAGCATCCAATTCCAGATGATGATAACCTTCAAAACAATTTTGAATTTTAATACAAACATACCAGTATATCTTTGTTAAATTATTAACACATAAATAAAGGTGAAAGGTACAGTTTTCCCAATGCTTAATTAATTAAGCATTAAGCAATGAAGATGTATGGGGAATTGAGGTATAGCTTGACTATTCTTGACCTCAGCACTAGATGAAGGTCAGCTTCATGACCTAGCTGCTTTACGCGTGGGGAAAGAGCCCCCAGTACCCGTTTGATAAAAGGCTGGGTATCTCTGGGCTCTGTGGAATAGAGAAAAATCTCTTGCCTCTGACAGGAATCGAACTCTGGCATCCAGCCTGTAGCCTGTTGGTATACTATATTACTGTTGCTTTCAGTTTATTATTTTTGTACTGTCTCACTCTTGCTCATTTTACCTGTGTACAGAAAGCTGTGAGAATGACCTCCGACTATGACATCTACCTCTGGCACAGCAGCTGCTACTTCACGGTCCACATCAAGTCCTGCATGTGACAATGCGATGATGATGTCCACACCTTGACTTCTCAGCTTTGCTGCTTCTTCTGCTACAGTCTCTATCTCATTGAGGAATTTCAGTTTCTCTGTGCTGGATATCTCCTGTGTCAGAAACACAATGTTGGTACCCCAGTACTAAAATTCTTATTTCCTTTGATACCAATGTGTAATGATTCACTCACAATGATACAAGAACTGCTAGTATATACTTTGAAAATGTAACAGAGTAACGGCTGTAGCAACCAGAAGCTATATTTATGACAAACAGACGTACCTACACTTCTTCTTGAATATGCCTGCTTTCCTCATCAGTATCAAAACATGTAGCTTGAAAAAATATTAGCACACAAATGGAGAAATTAAAGTTTACTCATATACAGAGGTCCGAGCGAGGACATGCGAGCTATAGAAAGACTGGCCGATTATTTAGGAAATTTTACAAAGCATAGCATATTTGGAGGTGATTTAAACTTGCCCTACACTGATTGGATCGGAAATGTGGAATGCACTAGTGGAGGTCAGACATCTGTAAATAGATTGGTGTGGGAAAATGGGTACATGCAGGTAGTACAAAGCCCAACCCGAGGGGATGCATTACTGGATGTTAACCTAGTCCGGCCAGAAAACTTGTGTACCTCATGCAGCATTATACACGGGGTTAGTGACCATTGTGGGGTATTATTAGGAGTAGNCTGAATGCGGTGTCCCAGTTCGATGCTGTGTTCAGCTACGGCCGACTTGTCCAGATGTTCGAGACGGTTGTGCCGCTGATGCTCCTTCAACCTCGTGTCCACGGAGCGGCCTGTCTGCCCAATATAGACTTTCCCGCACTCGCATGGGATCCCATGTTNTTTCTCCACAATAATTTTGCAATATGGGCAAGCAATGGTAGATATGTTGAGGAAGTATGGAATAATTTCAAGAACATAATACTCTAGTATATGGAAAGCATTCAGACCCTGATTACTATAATAAGGAAGTGAAAATGTTAAAGTTAAAGGTCAGTAAAGCATATGATAGACGAAAATTAGGACAGCAGTACTGAGAGGAACTGAAACTTCATTGCTGTTAGTTTATTATACTCGTATATTGTGTTAATTTTCTATTAATGTTGTGTTTTTCTACTAATGTTTGTGTGCTTTTGTACTAATGTTTATGTGCTGTGTTTCGTTTGAACGTGTTTATGTGTTATTTGTCTGTTGCCTTATTGTAGTACCACTTCCACCGGACCCCATTTGCAGTTAAATAATAATAATAATAATATCATCAAAGAACCGACAGGCTGGGACTGATGATTTGAGCCACCTCCAGAAACTCCACTACAATAATTGTGCACAACTTTTACAGCTGTCACAATTGTACACGCAGTATATTTCATAACATCTTCTGGTGTTCTAATAGAATACTCACAGGATAGTTAAATTTTCATATTATGTGTTAGATGATATAAGCACAATGAAATTTTGAGGTGATTCAATTCTCTATGTCATTCAGACTCTTTTCTAAGACATTAAATAACAAAGGGTATATGTTTATAAATTTTCAGCAGTGATTACACTACAGAATGAATGACCAGGGTTCGATTTCTGGTAGGGATAATGATCTTTCCATTTTCATCCAGAGTGGCTCTGGGGTCAAGCCAGCTTTCTGGGTAACTTGTGCCCTATGCATCCAGGACTTCAATCTAGTGATGAGGTTCAATTTTTATGGAGCTATGGAACACGTCTTCATGGCATGGGGCAATACAGGTTCCCAGTGTTGGTGGGAAACCGACCATATGGTAAAAAATAGTGTAGGTAAATGCATAACGACATTGAACACATGGGTTCTGCTACCATGGTGTCAGTTTTACATGGAAGTGACTGCTCGGAACACATAAATATATGTGGGAGGACAATATCAAAAATGATTTGTAGAGAGACAGTATGTGAGTCTGTGGACTGGATTCGGCTACATCATGATACAGTCCAAAGTAGTCTTTACAGACTTGGTGCTGTACCTTCGGCTTCCCTAAAAACTATGAAACTTTTCACCAGCAGAATATAACTTCTCAAGAAGACCCTTTAAATGGAGTTACTAAATTTTATGTGGGCATAAACTTGGTGTGTTACACTTGGGGAGGAACATAGATTCTCCATGTCTGAGAGATAACTGCTGAGGACAGTACCTAGACATAGGAGACAGGAAGAAGCAAGTGAAAGGAGAAAGTTACATATCAGGAAGTTCTGCGAGTCATGTTCATCACAAAGTTATGTTATGCTGATTCCAGCATAGAAGGTTGATATAAAGTTGGCATGTAGCAATTAATAAAAATTTTGAAATTTGACTATATCTAAAGTATTGAAAATGCTGATTTTGATTATTTTGATTGTAAGATGTCAACTTTATGTTTTTAAATGTACTATTTTGTGTATAAATATTGTGGCTATCTTGCACGTTTTTATAATTTATCCGATCATGTATAAGAAAATTTATTGTGTTGATTGGTTTCAATCGTTTTTGAAACTATGCATGTATGGAACGTGTTCCACATCCAGTGGCGTTTTAGTCCCTCTTGTTCTATGGAACAGGAAATAAATATGAATATGAATATGTAAAACTAAATTTATACAAAATTTAAGCTGTAAAAATTACTGTAACAGGCCGTTTTGATGATCTTGACATAGAGAATATACTAAAATGGATATTAGGAAAATATTCTGTGCCACAATGCAAGCAGTTGGATACTGGACTCTCATTGCAGAGCCTTTGGATCAATACCGGTGACTTCATGTAAGATCCATAGTGGACAAAGTAGCACTGGAGCAGATTCTTCTCTGAGTTTCTTTGGGTTTACCCTACTATTGATCATTCCACCGTTACTCCATACTGTCTCTCAATGCCCCTTTGTTGTATGTTGACCATGATGAGGCAGCACACTGTCACATCCTCAGTCTCTGGGTTAGGGACTTGATGTCTGATACTATATTTGAATGGCCATAAAGTATGCAGTTTAAGTTTTTGTTATGGAAATAGGTTTTGAAGATGTGAACTGGCACAAGACAGGGGCCAATGTTGCAAACTTATCATAACAGTGATGAAATAATCAGCTTCTCAAGGAAGACCATGTATGACACAGCTCATTAATATATACTTACGTAGAAAGTGCGAAGAACGTATCCAAGAATGCCTATTTTCCTGCCTCCCCTCTCAATAACAATGGACTTCTTGTACTTTCCCTGAATGGACGGCTCCTCAGAATCATCAATGTTGACCACAACAAATGGGGCATTCACAGTCTCCAAGAATGGGACAACCCCTGCAATCTTATCATCAAATTCATGGTTGCCCAGTGTCTGCAAAAGATACGCTTCTTAGTACTGGGCATTATTATTATTATTAGTGTTAATGAACTATCACAGAACTTCATCAGTTTCCTTAAAGGCGATTCATCATACAAAAAACTGATATGTCATAAAACAGAGAACACATTAAGATTGATGACGTTTATTTTTCTAAATATTGTCTGACATAAATACATAATAAGATGAATGGTGATATCTATAGTATGGAAGGTTTTTCGCACTAGATTTGTATCTACAATAAGGGAACACCAAGGCAAATTGAAATAGTTAAATCACAAACAATGCATTTGGAAAATGTGTAAGTTCATACTTTATTTGAAAGCACTTCTCCATTCTTTCGAATAATACACATGTAATATAGCGCAGATGTAACCTCAGAAGGGGGATATGTGCTGTGTAAACACTAGAAGAGGAGGAATATGATGAAGTAATTTCGAGTAAGTTAATTATTATCCAAACGTTTGCATGGAAGGTTTAAGGAGAATAAAGAGAAATCTCACGAAAGCCAGCAATCGAACCATATGCAAGACATAATATTTAATTTATTTATCTCTCTTCAACAATTGTATAAGTAACTAAAATAGTGTCAAACTGCAGGGCGATCTTAATAAATAATGAACTGGAAATGTGGTAGGAAGCAAACAAGACCTAATTTGTTACTACCCCTGCGTTTGTCTAGGGGGACCATAGATAACATGGGGAGACAGAATAACCACGGGATGGTCTGTGTCCCTGCCAAAATTGGAACCAGTCACCTCTAGAAAACAATGAGTCAACGCTGAGTTAACTTGCTCAAATGCCTGAGCAAAAGTCCGCTGATAGGTAATTCAGTCTATCAAGCACTTGAGGCACTATGCTACAAGACGGAAGGTCGCGGGATCGAATCCCGATGAGGTGATTTTTTCAATTAACCTAATCCTTCCAGCCGCACTATTGACGCTATTGACCTGGGGTCGACTCAGCCTCTAACAGAAGTGGGTACCAGGAATATTCCTGGAGGTAAAGGGCTGCCGGCGCGTAAGGCTAACAACCTCACCGCCATCTGTGAGCCGATTGTCTAGAAAAAGTGGAAGCCTCAATATCTCACAACTCTATAGGCCTCCACGGCCTGTTATAGTGATGCCTTTACCTTTACCTTTTTTATCATGCTCTTGAATAAAGATGAAACACGAATGTTTTAAAACAACACAGCGCGCCACAAACACATACAGGACAACATCAAATAGCCCTCTTCTCGAGAAAGACAAGGCGGCACACGTTCGGCCCATGTCAAGCGAAATAATAAGAGGGACGACAAAAACCTGCTTGGTTTAGGGATTCAAGTAGAGTCTTAACCAGTGCTTGAGGTGGAATGAATATAGAACCGGGATGGTTTTCCCAAAAAAGGTATTGTACATTGCATTTACTGCCAAAGAAGTAACGGGATGCTTTCAAGCCATTTAGAAAAGAACCGGGATGCCATCCCGTCGCATCCCGCCCCACCTGAAGCCCTGGTCTTAACCAATTATAAATATTTAAAATACTGGAACAGCCGCTGTAGTTGTAAAGACTTTAGATTTTATACTGCTTGACTATCTATCGATAACATTGCTGACATATCTGAACAATCGATATTAATGATCTGTAATCAGATCATTTTCTTGGCTAGTCTGTTTTCTTATCATGCTCTTGATCGTAATCGTAGGTGACTGATTCTCGATAAGCATGTCTGTGGTTGATTAAAATCCTTGTGATTAATATCGTGTGAGAAATAACATTTTATTGCTTATTATAATGATTACAGTGCTTAGTGATAAAAGAAGGGTGAGATATGTTTCGGTTTTCTTTCTTTCTGTTATTTTGCAATTCTTGTAAACCATTAGCCTCGATGTTCGTTTACTGCAGATCTACTGTTGCAATGCGAATCATGCCGCAGATCTCAAACTGCATAGTTCTGAAATAATTTCCATTGTATTCCGTTAAGTATTAACCAAGTCGAGAGAATAATTATTTCAAGTTATAGTTATAGATCTACATGGGAAATACAATTTTTCTTTAGAATGTAGCAATATTTTGTATGATGGGAGGGGCTTTTGGAAGAATTCATAATGTTCGATATGAGATATGACAGCTTCATGTAAAGTACTTGTTATATTTTTTATAGGTTATTTAATAAGGCTGTCAGTATCGAGAATTCATAGCATCCGGCGATGGGATGACTGATGAATTGCAAAGAGTTGGAAGTAAGCGGCCATGGGTTAATCGAGGCTAATCCCAGAATTTGCCTGGAGAATCTGAGGAAAATAACGAAAAAAAAAACTTATTCGTGGTGGCCGATCTCCGGATCGACATTTGAATATACGAAGCAGGAATGAAACCCCCTCTACCGTGAAGAAACATTTCTCATCATCTTCCGTCAACAGATGGTGCGCGTTTTACATTCAGAACTTAGATATAGAGAGAGTTACCTTGTCAAACAATTCAACTTTGTTAAATAAATATAAGGCTGTTGTAAATGAGTTGGGCTATTAGATATTAGTGTTTCCGAAATCGTCACGGATACGAACACGAACAAATTTGGAAAAAGCAAGGAAACTCTTAATATTTTCGTTCGAAACAATGATTTTAACGTATCAGCCGCTAATGACGATCCGCTCGCTACTTACTTACTTACCTATGGAGCTGAACCCTTCTTGAGGAGTTAAATCTGCAGCTACTCAAGAATTTCCCAGCATTTTATGGAACCCGAAGGTTCATTACCGTGTTCACAAGAGACCTACACTGGTCCCTATCCTGAGTCAGATCAATCCAATCCATATCATCCCATTTGTCCAAGATACATTTTAATATTGTCCACCCACATCCGCCTCCTTGGTCTTCCAAGTGTTCTCTTTCCTTCTGGTTTTCCTACCAATATCCTATATACAGGGGTTGGACAAAAATATGGAAACACCTCGTGAAATGCATGCCTGAATTGAAGTGTTTATTTTAGCGACGTTTGTAGGTCACGCTGTCGTATCTGCCCAACACCACTACCGGTACAACCTCCGCAATACGTTGCAAGCTTCATTTGTTGTCGAGACAGTGTTCTGTGCAATTTTTGTGCATCACGTCAGAGCTAACAGAATTCGAACGCGGGCAAATTGTTGGGGCCCATATGGTGGGTGCTTCCGTAACCAAGGTAGCCGAGGTCTTTGGTGTTTCGCGAGGCACAGTATCCAAGATTATGACCGCATACAGGAGGACTGAAAAAACCTCATCCGTTAAACACCAGCGTGGACGGAAATGTGTGTTGAGTGATCGAGACAGACGAACATTGCGTAGGATTGTGACGAAAAATAAGAAGACTACAGCTGCAAAAGTGACTGCTGAACTGAATGTCATGCTCACAAACCCTGTCAGCACCAAAACAGTACGAAGGGAACTCCAGAAACAGGGTATTTCTGGACGAGCTGCAATTCCAAAGCCACTCATCAGTGATCAAAATGCCACTAAGAGGACAGCGTGGTGCCGAAATCATAAAACCTGGACTATGGAGCAATGGAAGACGGTCATTTGGTCGGATGAGTCCACCTTCACACTGTTTCCGACTTCTGGCCGAGTTTACGTCTGGAGAACGCCATCCCAAGCTTACGATCCAGATTGTTTGCTGCCAAGAGTGAAACATGGCGGGATTTCGATCATGGTATGGACACCCATATCGTGGTATTCTGTCGGACCCATCATTACCCTGCAAGGTCACATCTCTGCCAACGACTATGTGACCATTTTGGGCGACCAGGCCCATCCCATGGTGCAAACTTTGTTCCCTAATGGTGATGCCATTTACCAAGCCAACAATGCCTTTGTTCACATAGCTCACATCGTCCAGGACTGGTTTTCTGAGAACGAAGATGAAGTGTCACGTCTGCCATGGCCCCCACAATCGCCAGATATCAATATTATTGAGCCTTTGTGGTCTGATTTGGAGAGCAATCTGCGTGCGCGCTATCCACCTCCATCATCGATAACAGAACTTACCATGTTTTTCAGGAAGAATGGTACAAGATTCCCTTACAAATCATACAGGACCTCTATTTATCCCTTTCCAAGGAGAATGCAAGCAGTTCTGCAAGCCAGAGGTTGTCCTACACCATATTAGTCACGGTAATGTGTTTTTTGTTGGGTGTTTCCATATTTTTGTCCATCCCCTGTACATTCATCTTCTCCCCCATTCGTGATATATGCCCTGCTCACCTCATCCCCCTTAACTTGATCATTCTAATTACACTTGGAGAAGAGTACAAGTTATGAGCCTCCTCATTATGCAGTTTTCTTCAACCTCCTGTCACTTCATCTCTCTTCAGTCCAAATATTCCCCTCAACACCCTGTTCTCAAACACACTCAGTCTGTGTTCCTCCCTTAATGTCAGAGACCAAGTTTCACATCCATACAGAACCACAGGCAAAATTATAGTTTTGTATACGTGTATTCTAATGTTTATGTTTCTGGACAGTAGACGAGAAGACAACATGTTCTGGACTGAATGGTAGCAAGCATTACCCGAGTTCGATCTGCTCTTAATTTCCTCCTCAATCAGGTTGTGATTTGTTGTCGTCGTTCCCAAATATCTGAACTGTGTCACATTTTCAAAACATCTGTTTCCTATCATTATGTCATGATTTGGCCCTGTATTTTGGTGACCAGACAACTTCTAGACCAACCTCCTTACTTGGGTCAGTTAAGGTTTGCGTGTTTTTCTTTATGGTATCTACATTATCACCCAGTAGATTCACATCATCGTCATAGACCAACAGCTGATGTGTCCCGTTTAATTTCAGTCCCACCTGGTTTTCCTGGACCTTCCTAATGGCACATTCTAAAGTAAACTTGAAACGGTGTGGCGATAAAGCATTTCCTTCTCTTAGACTATTCTGGATAGGAAATTTATCAGACAATTGTTTACCTATACGGACTTTACTATAAGTTTCGTTTAAACACATTTTAATCAGCCTTATGTATATATAATAGACTCCTTCCACTGACCACGCAATTTTTCCTTATGCCAAATAGACGTAATTAGCTTATGGATTTTACCACGTAATATTTCGCCTCCTGCTTAAACAGTTTCTGCCGGAATTTGATCACTACCTGGCGATTTATACCGTTTCAATTTTGCAATAGCACTTTCAACCTCAAAAGGGCTACGATCAGCTATTAACGGCTCAGCTATATGCATTTCTATCTGCCTAACATCACTGACCCTATTTACATTCAAAAACGAGAGAAGTAGTTCTTCCACCTATTCAAAATATTGTGGGAATCTGCAAGCAGATCACCATTCTCATTCTTCACTAAGTTACATCTAGGTTGGCAACCCCTCTTAAAGTCATTTATTCCTCAATACAGGTCTCTAATGTTTTTTTTCTTACTGTTCATTGCAAGCTCATCAATTTTGTCTTTCAGATATTCCCTCTTTTTATTTCTGAAATGCCTGCTGGTTTCACGTCTTATATTGTTCAGATTAACTCTATTTATTTCGCTTGGATCCTGTAACCATTGAAATGTGGATTGCTTTCGTCTGTCTAGTAATTTTGAACATTCTTCATCGAACCATGGCTTATGTTCCTTCGGTTCATAATAACCTAGACTCTCCTTGGCAGAAATTTTTATATTCTCTCTAACAGTTTCCCAAGCTATATTAACATCCACCTCAGGGTCCAAGCTTTCCAAAGCCGCGAACCTATTTGAGATTTCAACACGGTACTGCTCTTTACCCTCTACCTCATTTAATTTCTTGAGATTGAACCTCTCCATATGAACATTGTGTGTTGTCTGTTTGCTCACTGCCAGTCTCCTCCTAACCTTTGCCACCACCACGTAGTGGTCAGTACCACAACCTGCTGTCCTGAATGAATGGACATCAAGCAAATTCATGGATGTTATGATGCGGGAACATTGTACTTGTGACAGTAAGATTTTTCGATATGGCAAAGTTTACTACTCTAACTCCATTATCATTACTAATTTCATGCAAACTCTCATTTCCAGTTGTTAGTTTGAAAATGACTTCCCTACCTACTTTGGCATTGAAATCTCCTAACAAAATTTTCATATGGTACTTCGCGAATTTATCAAATATATGTTCTAGTTCTTCATGGAACCTGTCCTTTATGTCATAAATTTTATCTTCTATTGGGGCATGAACATTTATAACGATGCTATCACACCAGCGACCTTTTAGTATTATATATGACATCCTATCACTAACGAACTCTACCCTCTTAACTGCTGATACAATTCTCTTATGTACGAAGAAACCTATACCCAATTCATGATGTTCATTCCCCAATTACATCTCAAGTTCAAAAGGCAAAATAAGATTCCTTTGCCCTATAGATCCTCGGACCTGACTCCACACGACTTCTACAACTTCTACGTATGGAGCACACACTGACTATTTGTTTATAAACTTTGCGAATTTTCACGCTGTTTTCAGTTTGTTTCATATTTCCATCTGTAACCGTTTCGACATTTGGAAAATATATTTTCTTATCACCCAAATAATTTTTGTTATCTCTGTATTAATTATACAACTCGGGTAAATATTTTGTTTCAATGTTGATAGTAGAAAATTTGTTGGTAGGCGGTGTAACTGCGTCACAACATCCCAAAGATGAAGTAAAATAATTACCAGTGCGTCATGCGGCAGCATGTTCATGAACTGAGACGTCACATTCCATTTGAATTTGGTGTACCACAGAGTTCCTTGAAAGTTATCGCCAGCGTTTAAGAAAATCGGGTTGGGCCGTTCATTCACAAGTCTCTTGACTATCGTAGCGACTCGAGCAATGCCTCCAAAACACGTTTCTTCTTGACTTTCTAAACATGTCTCTGACGACAAACTGACTTGCTCAAACCGAGCGTGAAAGTCATTGATATGAATAAGAGATATCTCAAACAATTCCTTTTTACTGCGCTTTGTTACACGGCCACAAGCAGGTTGATACAGAATAGAAAAGACGATGACGAGATATAAAAAGAAGATTTTCCGTTCTGAAAGTACAAACATTCTACACGTTTTAGTCTGAACGCCGCGTAGCATGACACAACTGTTCGCTGCGATATTCAACCCACAACTGGGGACAACTGAGTGCGGACTCGACTGTGACAAGGTGCGAATAAACACCGTCATAAGACAGGTCAATGTCTTTCAGGGGAAAAACCAACCTTCATAGAAAAAAGTAATAAGATAACTTAGAAGATACGAATATCTTTAATAACACACCATTGTTAGTCGCAGTATCGAAGTGTAAGTTCCCTTAGCCCACATGCAAGAATTCGCTTATAATTGCATTGTCATTCAGTTATTATCTAGCGCAGACGAAGTTCGTATGTTTTTTTTTCCACCAGAGACAAAGTCAATAGATTGTTGTGTACAGATAACCGCATGTCATAGGCACTAGAACGAGGCTCTTAAAGTACAAATCCCACACCGACCTAATGTGGTATCCAAAATGTAGTTCACAATGACATGGTCATTATACTTTTGTTTCGTGAGAGAAAAAACCTGGAGAATTACAAACATCTCCATTGTTGCTGTGCATACATTATTATGTTAAACATACACTACATAAAATATGTTTCAAGTATAAGTTCTAGATTTTAATTAGATTTATATTAATATAAATTAACAAGCCGAGAATAGTGAGTACTTTCTGAGACGAATATTACAATTGTAAAGTCCGATATGTGTTTGTTATAAGGAAAAGTTTATACTTTTCCAATGTTTGTCTAAAAAAACTGTGACAACAGGTTATCTATTATACCAGTGTTGTATAGGGAATTTAATATTGTCTGAGGTGTACTTGATATGCACGACGACATTTCGGTAGTTGACTCTGCCACCGTCTTCACACACACACACACACACACACATATAATTTACGTGACTGACTGTCATTTCACTGACAATAAAGAGCTTCGCCCATACCACGAGTACATATACCTCGGTCAGTACGTCAAATTAATTCCTTTTTAATTCTTATATTTGATTTTGAGATAATGAAAATTTCTATCCTCTAGAACAGTGCTTCTCAACCGCCGGGCCGAGGCCCAGTAGTGGGCCCTGGCATCAATTATACTGGGCCGCGAGAGGCTCTTCTGGAATTTGTCATTTTCATTTTCTAAGCATTTTTCATGAATAAATATTTTATAGTGGAAATATTCTCAGGAGAACAATATTTGTGACGAGAAGCTCAGACACAGAACACCTAAATCTGTGTAGCAAATGTTAGTGACCAAGCCGCATATTTTTAAACATGGAAGTATTCGTGAACGATCGGGAATTTTCAGACATCCAAATCTTTCAACATTCGGGAAAGGCAATACCGATGTTTATGGCCAGTCATTAGAATTGCCTGCAAGCCGATTACAACAATGGGCGGCATATCCTCTGTTCTCAGAACTGAGCTAAATAACATCTGTGTTGCAAATATCAGTGATCAATCAGCAAGGAAGTATAAAGAAAATTAGCACAAATTAATTTAATGATGAAGAAAGCAGTCTTCTGGGATTTGGCACCGTGTATATGTGGTGTTAACCGACGTTTCGGAGGAACGTATCGCCTCCATCTTCAGGGTAGAAGAAAAAATATAAGAAATCTGCAAGCGAAGAGACCGTGAGAACCGGTAAAAGCAGACTGTTAATGATGTTGGTCTGAGGAAACTACAAAATGCTACAAGATTTCATTAGTCCAGTGATTGATAACTAATTTAAATGTAATTTTATGTTTGTCAGCATGCCACACCGTATACATAAGTGTACTAATACTCTTTATGATTATGCTATAATTAATTACTAATATTACGTTCCCTTAATGCATGAACTTTAACAAAACTGGAAAGGTATTTACGAGTAAATCTGTTGGGACTGGGCCCTCGTCTTATAAAAAAAGAATTTACTGGGCCGCGGTCTCATAAAGATTGAGAACCACTGCCCTAGAACACACAATGTCGTGTTGTCCGAAGAAAGTCAACCGAGGTCTCGGGGGATTATGTCGTCGCCAGCTTTGTAGAGCTTGCTGCCTGCTTCATGCTGATTTCTTGCTCGGTTCACTGTTCAACTCTCAAGATGGAAGCGATACATTTCTTTAAAACGCCAATTGACTTTCACCGAAATATATGACGTTATAATCCGGAGATACAACCCTTCAGAGTCAGCGCTGTGAGAACTTCGAAATCAACATGAATCAGAGATCACTTTCTGATAAAGAGAAATTAATAAACATTTTCTCATGAATAGTCTACTATCTTCTGAGTTGTGTAGCCAGGTAGAAACTCACCGACGTTTCGGAGGAACTTCCTGTCTCCGTCTTCAGTTCTGAAGAAAAAGCTAGGTAAGTAACCAGCATGAAATAGGTACAGAAGTAGAGCTGCTTCAAATTTGTATTTGCAGAAGACGCTTATGTTCTCACGAACATAATGGTAGAAGGAATATACACACATCTTCCATTCAATTATGGTCAGCAAAAAAGTCATCGTGCTGTTCAAACTGACATAATTTTTAATCTCTTTGAAGCGTTATCGCGCATTCAAGATATATTTACCCCCTTCGGAATATATTTACATCAAATTAGTGGTTCCAAACTAAATTTGCAAATCCTTTGGATGAGGAGAGAGGGGCGCTTCTATGATAAGGGATGTGCAATGACGTATGATTTTGTGTGCCAATATTCTTCCGCGACCGCCTATTTTCAAATAATTTCTCAAAAGCATCTTCAAAACTTATTGAACAATATACGAGACTTGAGCAGATTATGCACGTTATTATATTCTGAGGTGTGACGTCACTGGTGGGTAGATGTCTACCAGAGTTTCGGAGGAACGTGTTACCACCGTTTTATGAGTAGAGCACTCCGTTTCTCTGAAACGTCAGTAACTACCTACTGCAGTACGTGGCATCACATCTCAGAAGACAGAAAGGTAAAGTTGTCCCTGTGCTTAACTAATTAAGCACTATGCCATGAAGGCGTATGGGGGAGTGGACCTCGGCATTAGTTGGAGATGAGTGGTCAGCTTCCCGCCCCGGCCGCTTTACCCTCGAGGAAAGAGCCCCTGGTACTCATTGTATAGGAGGTTGGGTGGGCCCCAGAGCCGGTCTGGACGACATGGAGAAGAGAAAGTTCTTGCCCCACCGAGACTCGTACTCCGACTCCTCTGTCCTCCAGCCCTTAGCCAGTCACTATACCGACTAAGCTACCAGAAGACAGCAGTCATTTTGTTCGACATTATATAACCTCTGCTGTTGAAACAGCGTCATTACGTAATGTATGACTCAAGCAACACGGAACTGAGCCCAATCTATTTTTCTACTGAAATGCAAGCAATTTTGACAGGGAAGGTAATCTGTGTGTGAATTCACATTGATAGAACCGGTTTGGTTTGCTCTGTTTCGAGCTGAAACTGGATTATCATACCCACACTTGAGCCTAGCACTTTGGAGTACTTCCCTGGGTTATACGCAAGTTTAAGAACATTCTATATGAGATCTGTTTAACTAATTATGTGCTGTATTTTCACCAATGTGATGGGTCCCCCTAATAAATTGCTTCCCAGTTTTAAAAGGTAAAATGTAAGCAAAGCTGTTTACACATTGATTGTCCAACATGCAAGCACAACGCATAAAGCACAACGGGAAAAGCGTTAGCCGTCTTCCGGTCCTCATTGTTGAGGGCAGTCGGTATCGGTTGGTATAATGACTGGCTTCGGGCTGGACGAAAGAGGGTTCGGAGTTCGAGTCTCGGTAGGGGCAAGAATATTCTCTTCTCCAAGTCGTCCAGACCAGCTCTGGGGTCCACCCAATCTCCTATCCAATGGGTACCGGGGGTTCCTTCCCCGGAGGTAACGCGGAAGGTGCGTGAAGCTGACCATTAACCGGCAACTAGTGCTGAAGTCAAGAAAATGTGGATATATACATCGATTCCCCCACACGCCTTCATGGCGTAGTGCTTGTAGTTAAGTACAAGGACAACTTTGCCTTTTTTCCGAATAAACGTGTCACCGAAATGTACATAAGAATTATGAGGAAAATTTCATTTTCGTCTGTACCGATCTTTACTTTACTTTAGCATAAGTACACATTTTTAAGGGATATAGGATAAAATCTAATGGAGCATGGGCGCCGCAAGAGGGATTGGGGAAGCCAGAAAATTTGCTTGCAGACTTCGGTTTCAGCAGTTTAAGAGCAGTTTAATGAATTGCCTTAGAGTTACGGGTCGGTACGTTAAGACATACTCGTACTGTATATGGCGCCGCTCTTAAAACTAATGTTATTTCTGTTAATAATACTTAGTATACAGGGCACGTGGTAGTGTAGTTGGTTGAGGCACTATTCTACAAGCCGGGACTTCGCCGGTTCGATTCCAGATGAGGTCATTCGATTTTTCAATTGATATAATTCTTCCAGCCGCACTATGGCCACAGGGTCGACACAGCCTCTAATAGAAATCAACACCACGAATCTTCCTGGGGTAAATGGCGGCCGTCGCGTAAGACTGACTACGTCACCGCCATCTGTGAGCCGACTGTATAAAAAATGTGTCAACCTCGACGTCTCACAACCCTATGGGCCTCCACGGCCTGTTACAGGGATATCTTTACCTTCTTTTAAATACTTAATATATTTCCTTATTTTTTTAAATGTTAATGTTTCCAAAAATCCAGGAGGGGATCAGATTCCGGGCTTGCCCCCGCTACAGGTGCGGTAGATGAACTGCGGTGTAGGTGAGATATTTTGCGTTGTTTATTTTCGCGGTGTAATATCAAATTTTACGTAATAATTTCACTTCTTTAATGTCCAGATGCGCCGAGGCTTGCCATGACGCGAGTGAAACCGCACCTGGACTTATAACTGCAGGAAGTGACAATAGGAAACAAAATGTAATATCATACGTTCCACTCTGCTGCCCGCAAGGAAACCTTGACATTTGCAATAACTTGACAAAGCGTAAGTAAGTTAGTGGAGAAAATGTTAACTGGATGACTAACTAACAAACTAACTCCATGCAGCAAACATATCAAGAAAGTGACAGTGACTCCGACACTCAAGAATTTCACCACGTTTATGAAACTTGAAATTTCGTTACCGTGTTCACAAAAGTACAACTGTTAGGTATGTAATAATGGGCACTTAGTAATAGACGTTTTGTTTTCTTTGAATTGAATTAGTTTTTTATGATGTGCTGGATGAAACACAACAAAGAGAGAATCTTAAGAATTTGTGGTCCTCTCAAAGTATTATTACTGCGATCAAATTCAGAATAACGGAGGTGTGTGGCACGTAGCATCGATGACAGAAATAAGAAATTTCTGTCGGAAGATCTGAAATTCAGAGTTCGCTTTGGAGACATATAAGTATACAGGAGGGGAACATAAAAGCGGTTCTTAAAGAAGGTAATGTGAGATTATAGACTGGATTCATCTGGCTTTCTTTTTTTGCTAGTGGGGTGGGACTAAGTCCCCTGTACTGCGGCCACTTCTGGCCTATTGTACCAGCCCCAGATGATAGGTGAGGGTGATTGTGGAGCAATTGGTGGAATGAAGATTGGCAGGGGAAACCGAAATACTCGGAGAAAACCTGCCGTAGCGCCACTTTGTCCACCACAAATCCCATTTTATCAGACCCGAGATCGAACCCGGGCCGCCGCGGTGGGAAGCCAGCGACTAACCGCTTGAGCTATGGCGCGGCCTGCATTCATCTGGCTTGGTAGACAATGTAGTGGCAGGCTCCTGTGAATACGATAATAAACCTTCGAATTCGATGAAAGTGAGAAATTTTTTTCCAGCGAAGCGAGTATTAACTTCTTAATAATAACTGCACTCCACAGGCTATTTAGTTAGTTAGTTAGTTAGTTTGTCATTCAGTTAACTGGTTAATTAGAGTACGTATGGATGTGGCAAAGAAGCCCAACTCAACTCATACTTTTGTAATCAACAAATGTTAGTTCAGAATAGCAAACACGTAAGTAAGTGTCTCTCTTTATTCAGTTAACAGTTTGAGTAGTCTACCGTTGCAGGTTTACTGTCAATTCAAACACGACTTGCGATTGAATCAATTGTTCTACCGGCGACGTAAGCAGCCACAACGTACCAAAGGAAAGTGAGAACTTGATAAGACATTATCATCAGAGAAATATATCTTCGTGGCCAAACTATCATCCTTTCATACATTCTCCACAACCAAACTTGGTAGCGCACACACGCAATACATTGTAGAAGGAATGAGCTTGGAGCTGGTTGCCAAGTACAGTAGTTGTGTGGTAGGTCACTGGACGCTTTTATCTACACATTCCACGCAGCTGAACCTTTAAATCTAGACCTTTCAACCTTTGACAGGCGGGTTGCTCTCAATTTCCGATTCAGTTTTAGCAACTCCGTAAAACATAGTGATTTATACACACACGTATATTCATTGCGTAGCTATAAAAGGAAAATTCTTAAAATTATGTGCAGAATATACACGCAATGGGGCACGCGTAGTTGGCTGAGGCACTACGCTACAAGCCGGAAGGTCGCGGGTTGAAGTCCCGATGAGGTCATTGGATTTTTCCAATTGACCTAATCCTTCCAGCCGCACTATGGCCCTGGGGACGACTCAGCCTCTGACAGAAATGAGTACCAGGAATTAATAAAATAATTTTCCTGGTGAGTATAGCGCGGCCGGGGCGTAGGGCTGACAACCTGACCGCCATCTTTCAGCCGATTGTCTAGATAATGTGGGACCCTCAACGTCTCAGAACCCTATGGGCCTTCACGGCCTGGTACAGGGATAGCTTTACTTTTACTTACTTTACTCTTTTCTTTTCCCCTTGGCACTACAGCCCCAGTGGGACTAGGCCTACCTCCATGAACTTCTCCGTTCACTTCGGTTTTTCTAGATCTTACACATACGGTAGGACTCCTTGGGCGGGTGATCAGCTCGTCGCAAGGCCTCTACCTGTAGACAAACACAGAAAAACGCATACAAACATCCATGCCCTGAATGGAATTCGAACCCACGATCCCGGCTTCCGAGCGAGCGAAGACAGTGCGTGCCTTAGACCGCTCGGCTACCGTGACCGGTTACTTACTTTACTTTACATACACGTAATTCCGTGAGGGAATTTATAATGCGTATCATGAACTAAGTTAAGACATTTGAGCAATCCCACATGCCACTACACGAGTCAAGGAATTCCGCCCCCCATCCCCCCCCCCCAACTTCGAAACTTCGTCACAGTAATAACACGAAATTTGCAGACAGTGTGACGAAAAAAGTCACCGGTGTAGTAATTCTTGAAACAGTTTTATTTAATTTACTGAATTACGTGTTCAGATTGCTGTTAATTAGACGTCATGTCAACAAGAGGCCACTATAATTTTCTTTCCTTGGCACTACAGCCCCAGTGGGCCTATGCCTACCTCCATGAACTTCTCCGTTCACTTCGTTTTTTATAGATCTTACACATCCGGTAGGACTCCTTGGGCGAGTGATCAGCTCGTCTCAAGGCCTCTACCTGTACATAAACACAGAAAAACGCACACAAACCTCCATGCCCTGAGTGGGATTCGAACCCACGATCCGGCTTCCGAGCGAGCGAAGACAGTGCACGCCTTAGACCGCTCAGCTACCGTGACCGGCTGGCCACTATAAATTACCGTATTTACGCATGCATAGGCCGCGTGCGTGTATAGGCCGCAGTACAATTTTCAGAGAGAAATTATAGAAAAAATAATTTTCTTGGAATATTATTTCAGGAGTAGAAATAATATAATATATAATATAATATAATTTTTTTAAATGAAGTGTGATTTCGAATATTTCGAATATAAGCCGCACCCCAGTTTTCCTCTTGAACTTTTAGCAAAAAATGTGCGACCTATACATGCGTAAATACGGTAATTTGCATTTAATGAAGAGCAAAACGGGGGAATGTGCAGTCCCAGGAAGCGGCTTCGTTCATCTGCGTTGCTTCGCCGTCCCTGGGTTTATCTCAATCCACTGTACGAACTGCTTCCCAAACCTGACCAAAAGAAGGAAACGGAACAGAACAACACAATGGAATTTCCCATTCTTCTTCTTCTTCTTCTTCTTCTTCTTCTTCTCTATCTATCTCTTTTTGTCGTGCAATAAGCGCCGCATTTTAAATCATGCGCATATCGAAAATTTCAATGGCAACGGGTTTTCGAGATGAACACGATCCTTCTGATACTGACGCCGTGCAGTCCGGTAGAATTTCGGAGGAACGTGCTGCCTCCATCATCAGTGAGAACCATTTTTAGATTGTAAGTATTCCGTCTATAAGGCAATAAAGTCAACATTTTATTAATGACGCTAAAATACATTTAATACAATAAAAGTGTTTGTTAAATATTTTAAATGTCATTCAATATATACATTCATTCCTTGTTGCTATATGTTTCGGCCACACATGGGCCATCATCATGCAACACTTATTACTGGGCAGACCACTGCACTGTACACTTTGTCTTCCGTTCCCTTAGGCGCATCCTTGTTTTTGTTGTTAGCTTCTGTCGTAGGATATTTCCATCTTATATTTTTGGCGGATCTTACAGTGTTTTTATGTCGTTTATTTTTGTTGTTTATGCTTTACTGTTATCTTCCCTTGTCTTCTTCAACGAAGAACAAGCAAGCAACAAACAAGAAGCAAGCAGGAAACGTTGCTTAACTGGCTCCCTCTTCGACTCTGAAGTTAGAGGCTGTACGATCTTCCGAAACGTCTGGGACTTATACCGGGACTACACTGTGTCACATACCAGAATAAACAACGTTCCATTGTTACTACTAGGAGAACCTCCATTGGAGAATCATTGCTTCTTGCAGTGATAAAGTTTATGAATGACTTGAGTTTAAAGACTATACATACTATTTTTAAAATTAACCACGAATCAAGAAACAAAAACTGTATAAATAAGATTCAGAAATTTGTGACGATCGTATATTAAAACAACTGTTGTGTTTTTGGACATTACACAACAATTGATTTCTTATGTAAGCAGTTACAGAACAATGTAAATGGGAGTGGTGGGAGTGGGGGGTTAAGGGTAATGCGCATGCGCTAAATTGCAGTATCACTTGATTACAACAGCTAAATAGGAAGGTCATGGCAATATCGTAATACTTGTTTATTACAATTATAATAGTCAAATGAGGGCAGTACTGACTGTTAGGTATATTTATGTCTGTCGTGGCATAATGGAACAAGCAGCTGAGAGGAAACGGAGGTTTTTACTGCTCTCAGTTCGTGCCACGACCCAGCCGACAGCAGCTGACACCCGCCGGTGCTTCTCATTGTAACACTCGGCCCTTCTGTAGCCACGCAGAGACCTGAGACTGCTCTGTGCTACAGGCAACAAGACGTGACAAAGTACGTTATATCTCTTCCGTGTCTGTGGTGACATGTTCATCTCTTAGTTAAGGCTATAGGTATATTTTGTGGTGTGAAGGAAAGCAAGAAGGTAATGAGTATGTTTTATTGATGTTTGTTGGCAACGGTAACGAACCAAGTTCACTCTGAATAGTTGCAGATGAAAGATTACAGCCGACTATATTGCTAGATGTGAGGTGTGAAGTATTCTCAGCGTTGACTATGAAAATTAATGCCTTTTGGAGTGTGACAGCATCTAGTCTGATAGATCGTTAAAAAAGTTTCGGAAGAACATTCTGTCTTCATAGTCAGGGTAGAAAAATAGTATTATACCACATTCCATGGCGTCACATCCCGGAAGGCAGTAATGGACGAAGCAGGTTCGCGTAGCTTTGAATTTGAGACTGATAAATTTGGATAGTTTTGTGGGTTTCTTTTCTCTGTGTAAAGTAAAAAAAAGTAAAGCTATCCCTGTAACAGGCCGTAAAGGCCCATAGGGTTGTGAGACGTTGAGGGTCCCACATTATCTAGACAATCGGCTCAAAGATTGCGGTGAGGTTGTTAACATTACGCGCCGGCCGCGCTTTACTCCCCAAGAAAATTATTTAATTAATTCCTGGTACTCATTTCTGTTAGAGGCTGAGTGAACCCCAGGGTCATAGTGCGGCTGGAAGGATTAGGTAAATTGAAAAAAAAAAATCCAATGACCTCATCGGGACTTGAAACCGCGACCTTCCGGCTTGTAGCATACTGCCTCAACCAACTACGCTACCGCGTGACCCCCTTCTTTTCTTTGTGTAGATATTAATATTGTCAACCGGAAGAAATGACAGCTCAGCATTCAGTCCTCTCAGCTTCGAAACCATTGTACGTATATCCTCAGTTCTCATCGTGTAGCACGTACACTACAGTTAACTTAAATTTTGAAATGCGAACTAAACTGGCATTCAAACCGAGCCTACAGATGTAACGGTGACAATTTAAATTTAAATTCGGGAGGATCCTGTTCGTGTCTCGGCTGAATTGTCGCATATCCTGACATTAATTAAAAGATACTTAAATGTTAAATATTCTTACTTTACCGGTCACGGTAGCCGAGCGGTCTAAGGCATGCACTGACTTCGCTCGCTCGGAGGCCGGGATCGTGAGTTCTAATCCCACTTAGGATATGCATATTCAGTGTTTGTGTGTGTATGCGTTTCTGTGTTTGTGTAAAGGAAGAGGCCTTGCGATGAGCTGATCACCCGCCCAAGGAGTCCTACCGAATGTCTAAGATCTAGCAAACCGAAGTGAAACAGATTTTCACGGAGGTAGGCCAAGGCCCAAATTGGGGCTGTAGCGCTTAAGAAAAAAACATATTCTTACTTTAGTTAGGTGGATAATGTGAAAAAGAATCTTAGATACGATGGGATGGTATGGATTGGAGTGATTTGGCTCAGGATAGTGAACAGTAGAGTGCTCTTGTGAACACGGCAATCCTTAGTGTTCCATAAAATGTTGGGAAATTCTTGAGTAGGTGCACAACTGGCGGCTTCTCAAGAAGGGATCAGCTCTATGGAGTTAGTTAAATCTTCTTACTTTCTTTTTCTAGGTGAAACTAAATCCCGATATTAGTTGGGAAATAATGGAAAGAAAAAAGTGAATCTGCAAACTTAATAGTGAATGTTGTTTTAATTCAACATCGCAGAAAATATTGTAATTACCTTCAATTTCATGTGAACTACTTAATATCCATACTGTGTGACAATTTAACGCTTTGGCTTTAAATCTTTATAAAAATAATGGCCAAGTCGGGCAAGGTTACGGCAGTGCTGGCCTGTGTGGCGATGCTAAGCGTCACGACGCTCGCGGACACATTCAAGCTACTGATTGTCCACACGAACGATATGCACTCTCGGTTCGAACAGACCAGCAAGTCGTCTGGGGTGTGCTCTGAGCAAGAAGCGGCCAAGAATCAATGTTTCGGCGGGTTTCCACGTGTTTCGGAAGCTGTCACCCTGGCACGTGCAAGAAGTAAGATGGAGAACACGCAGTCTCTGTTCCTCATTGCTGGAGACATCTATCAAGGGACACTTTTCTACACTATCTACAAATGGAAGATTGTTGCCAAGCTCACCAACATGCTGAGACCTGATGCCATGGTAAGCTCAAGTTTATTTTGGTTTTCCTATACTTAGGCAACATGACAGAAGCCAAAGACGGGGAAAAAATATACAAAACTAAAATTTACCTATGGTTATACACGAATGTGAAACTTGGTCTCTGACATTAAGGGGGGAACAAAGACAGAGGGTGCATGAGAACAGGCTGCTGACCATACCTCCATGACTCTGTCCCCGAGATCTCGACTGACGAAAGGGGTACAGTAACTCGACAGTAAGAATATGTAATTGAAGCGAAGAAGGTTTTAAGAGATCCGTCCTGCCTCTTAAACCATCCAAACAACCGCTTTAAAGCTTAACATCTCTGTATTTTGAACGTAATTTCTATTCCGTGATTTCATTTTATTCTCATAGGGAGGGGGACAGCGAATATTTCCCTATACAGCATTAATGGACTGGTCAATGTAATGAATACGCGTTTTATTCTCCGGGGTAGAACCTATATTTTTAAAATATTACTTTGGTCAGCTGCATGCCTCGAAGTATGAAATGTGGATATCCATCTGGTCTGTATAGTCGTCAACGTAACAGTGGCCCTTGTAAACGTGGCACTGAACCTTCTGGCTCTATAAAAGCCTGGCAATTTCTTGACCAACCAAGAGACTTAAAAGGTAAAGGTATCCCTGTAACAGGCCATGGAGGCCCATAGGGTTGTGCGACATCGAGGCTCACATTTTCCAGACAATCGACTCACAGATGGCGGTGAGGTTGTCAGCGTTATGCGCCGGCCGCCCTTTAGCCCCAGTAAGAATACCGGTACTCATTTATTTTAGAGGCTGAGTCGACCCCAGGGCCATAGTGCGGATGGAAGGATTATGTGAATCGGACCTTCCGGCTTGCAGCATAGTGCCTCAACCAACTACGCTACCGCGTGCCCCTAACTAAGAGATTTAGTTACTAAACAGCAATCCTGTTCCGAGTTGGTTCTTTAAGACTAAGATAGCAGAGGAAATACGGATATATTTTGTATCTGACTTTATTTCATGGGCCTATCTGACACGGCATAGCTCACATCTTCATGATAACATTAATACATTAGTTTGGGTGTGGTCATACAATCATGGGGATTAGAGGTAACGACGGCACGGGGAAGGCAGGCTAATTTACATGATAAGGTCTGTGAGATATTTGCACGAAATGCGTGAAATGTAGTCATTAAGGGAAGATGGGTTCCGCTTCTCCTCGTATTACTGTAAAAAACTATCCCTGTAACAGACCGTGAAGGCCAATGCGGTTGTGAGGCGTCGAGGCTCTCACATTTTCTAGACAATTGGCTCACAGATGGCGGTAGGATTGTCAGCCTTAAGCACCGGCCGCCATTTCACCCTATGAATCTTCCTGGAACTCATTTCTGTTACCCCAGAGACATAGTGCAGCTGGAAGAATTAGGTACATTAAAACAAAAAGCCACATCACAGGGACTCGAATCCGCAATCTTCAGGTTTGTAGAATTGTAGCATCAAAGGAACGGAGAACAACATGTTGCCAGCCCCAGACACGCTGGGGCCACTCCACTGCCCAATAGCTCCTTCATTATTTTAGAAAAATTTAGTATGAGTGAAGTAAACAAGTGTGGACTTGGTCCACCGAACTTATGTCTTGTAAATTTCCACACGAAGACAATGTACAAGGCAAGACTCAGAGCCTAACTGGGAGATATGACGTCAGTTACCGGATATAAATGTGCTTATAAACTCTCCGTAATTACAGGAGAGGGGGGATACTTTCGAAAACTTCGTTGTGGGCCGTCTCCATGCGACTCAGCTACGCGAAGTGGCCTTTGAAATTTTTGCTCGCAAGGTCCTGGTCTTGTCTTCATATTATCACCACTAGTTGCATCAATTTCATCTTGTTTTCTTTTAATAAATCCTCATATAGTTAACTGCTCTGTAGTCTTGGGCTATCACTCTTAAACGGTGTGAACCTCAACTCCACAAATAAATTTACCTTGGCTTCATCGGACTTCCATCCCCGGCTTGGAAGATCTCAACCAACTGTACTACGGGATACGACAGAATTGTGCCTCAACCAACGACGCTACCGACTGCCGCCTGTATGATTTAATGGCGTAGAATATTATGATAATCAATTAATAACACATTGGAAAGGATGTCATAAGGAACAGAGCCCTCTCTTATTTTAGGATGTCATAGGGACCAGGCACCAAGCCCTCCTGTTATTTCAAGCTGTCAAGACCCAGCGATAACCACGAACTTTTAACATGCCACAGGATAACTTATTAGTATTGGGTATGGCTGCAGGGTAAAATCACGTACAGCTATAAACCTTACAGCCCTTCAACAGTATAAACAAAGCGTTAGTGAGCAGTACTCACTAATTGCGAGGGAGGTAGAGGTTATTAGTTTTTATGCTTATGACTGGGTCAAAGGAGTGGGAATACACAACACATTCCTTTGAGCCAAGGCATATTTTAAACTTCTTCCTGAGGACAGTCGACAGTCAGCAGCCAGTGGTGTAAGTCGTCTGTTCGACTCACTTAATAAATCTATCCTATCTACCAGACTGGACTTTGAGTTTTTCTAACTTCGATTGGACTTCGCTCCACTCCACATCCTGTTCGTCACATGCAATTTCCTGGCAATCCGGTAAAACACACAACTACCGGCGATCCACGTAATTTTCGGACATACTCGCAAGAGATCTAAATTTGTTTGTATGGAACGACAAGACTGCTCCGTCCACCTACCACTTTGTCTTGCACGTCCACCCATACAACAAGGACAAAAGCACACCACACCTAAAGACATACGCAAAATATTACTAAGAAAGTCCTTATTTTTAAACCTTAATGTGTGGATGTGCTTTGATATAACTTGACATAAAGTATCGTTTGGATATCTTCTACACGCTTACATTTACTTTCCTCTGTATCTTCATTCAGTCGAGTTAATCACAAAAGATCCACAGCTCTTAACAAAGGACCAATACTGGTCTAAGTGCATGGGGAAACCCACCCTCTCTAATAACTAACTAACTAACCCAGTTTGCAATAGCTTTTTAATCAAATCAATGTTACGAGAGAAGCAAGTCAATCAGAAATACCTGCTACTTCTGTTCTGAACATAACAACGTAATAAATTTAATACAAAACCAGCTTTCCCACTCTGTAGCCAGGCATGTGTCTACTCATAGACGAAGGCCCAAAATCTTACGAAAATATACTGCCTAGTCTGGGTTACCGCTTATCTCAGAGAGCGATGATAGATTGTAACGTCTTTACCCGGCGCCGGTGGGGGTGGCAGATCCCGCCGCCGCCGCGTACTTGTTACTAAAAAACTCTCACTAGTGCCACCGAGAGTCCGGGGTTCGTCTTGGTGCAGGAGCTGACGCTAAAGCCCAAGATTAAACAGACCACGCTCCACACGTTGATAATATTAATAACCAAGTTTATTGAAGAAATGAAACACTAGAAAGAAATACAGTAGTTTTACATTTAGAAAGAAAGAGTGAGACCCTCGCGTCAGGCGAGCTGCCTTGTGTCTGCCTAGCCTCGGCTTTGTCCCGAAAAAAC